AAGATGTGGTTATATTTAAGAGTCGTGTACTACATCCTACGAGTATAAATAATGCACAACGTTAATATAATCAGGAAAAAATGAAGTTTTTTTTTTCTGTTAAATTTACTTAAAACTATCTTTTGTCCGTGGCTCCGTGTATATCGATTATCACAACTCACTCATAAATTGACTAATCACGAATTCTGGCTAATTAACTTGCATAGAAAAATCGAATTGAAAGCTGGAAATAATATATAAATCGGACACGAGGGCTAAGACCGAATGTTACGAAATGGTCATTTTCATAGTTCTTCTTTCTTATACTGAAAGCCTGAAATTAAGCAGACAGGTCGGTCGCAGGACACATCGGTTAAAATCGAACTGCGAAAGGGCCCGATTAAGAGAATTTAAAGGCTTCAGGCAACTTTGTGTAAAAGTACCTTGTTGTTTTTTGGTACAAGAATTATAAGGCGTTCTTTGTACCAATCAATTTAAAAAATCCGGACACTTGTCCGGATTTCAGAGTCTTACTCGCCCTCCGAGGGTTCCATACAAATTTGTAGGTACATATGTTATTATAAATAGTTCAGTAATCTAAACTCGCATTTGTTTCCGAGCATTTCCCGAAATTCAGTTTCCAAAACCTGTACTTACTTATATTTAGTGTTTTATAAGTGACTCACTCGGTGGTGCAGTGGTTGCGAATACGATTGCTCTACTTAGGTCTTGGGTTCGAATCCCGGGTCGTACCAAATGTTTGTATGATCTGTAAATATTTCTTTTGGAATTTGGGTGTTTTCTATGTATTATATGTATGCCTTTTGAAAAAAAAAAAAGTAGGTATATAAGTATTCTATCAGTCAATCTAGCGTTCATAGTACAAGATCTGCTTAGTTTCCGCCTAGATGTCAGATGTCCAAAAATATAAAAAAAGTGAAAGTGAAGTACGTAATCAATCATTGATATGTATCAATGATTGATAACGTACTTTAAATAAAGACTATATTTTTATGATTTAATTACAAATGTATAATTTTCAGTTTTTTCAGTGTCTTGTACTATAAGATATGTTACTTGCCAAATTTCGTAGTTCTAAGTCAACGGGAAGAACCCTATAAATTTTTGTTCCCTTGAGAGTGTCGAAATGTGCGTTTCTTGCGGCATAAACGGCCCTACCTTTTTTTCACGTTAACTCACAAGTTTGATTTATATATAGTTTAAATTTCGATACTCGATACCTCCACGCGTTCCCGAGATAAAGGCTTTTGACAGATGGACAGACGGACAACAAAGTGATCCTACAAGGGTTCCGTTTTTCCCTTTTAAGGTACGGAACCCTAAAAACAACAAACTGCAAGTTGACTGCCAATTTACTAATAGAATTAAATTTCTTTTTAAATATGTTGCTATGTTCTTTCTAATTGGAGGCCTATGTCCAGCAATGGAATACTAAAGGCTAAAGGATGACGATGATGATATATTCCAAAATTAAATGTATTACGAGTATATTCGAAAGTATTTTATACGTGCAAAGTTGTGAGTAACAGTTTATAATAATATATTCGATAAAATCTTTTGTTGCAAAAAACCTGTGTACGTGTGTAACTGTATATGTATATAACTAAAGGCAGTTTTATAACAAAGTAATGATTACCTGTTCTGTGTGCACAACCTTAGTTGCTGATGTCATAATTCAGAGATTATCATGTTTCACGCAATTCTAATTACAGTCTGTTTAATGATAAAAGGCTAATAATACGCTAAGGGAAAAATTGTATCACACACAATTGTAAATCGAAGCCCAGACGTTGCCAGGAATGAAGCGAGAATAATTATTTGTCTATTTATACTCGTACTTCTCACACAAGGAACTATATCCGTATGGTAACGGATTAAGAATTCGGAGTTTTACCACCCTATTCATCGCGTCGTAAGAGACGACTAAGGGAGCAAACTCCACAGGACAACAGTACACCAAAGAGAAGGAAAACTTGACACAAACTTCTTCACTACCAATCCGTCTGGCCAGCGTTGTATAATTGGCCAAAACTTCCTTTGTAAGGACAGGTCTATGTCCAGCAGTAAATTATTGAAGGGTGTTGAAGTGATGACGTGTATACTCACTTGGAAATGGAAAATTACTTTTCTTAATTTAATATATAATTCTAAATACTAAATCAATTTTTAATAATAATAACTTCACACATATCACCCACGGCAGCCTAGTCCGAAACTAGGCAGCGCCTGTTCTAGTTTAACCAGCCTGCTGAAAAACATCCTTATATAATTACCAAATACATATTATTTTAAATCATTTACATCATAAAATAAAACGAATGAAAACAAAACCAAAAATTACTAATTCAAAGAACCATTCAAAACTCGAATAACCTAATATCCTACCTTTTCTATGGTATAGGTATAGTTAAAAGTAGTCTATAGTATACCATAGACTACTTTTAACTATACCTATACACTTATAAGTTAGAGCTTGTTGCCGATCTGAGTCATACAGGCGCGCATACATAAAACCATAATCTACATCTACAATAAACAATTGAGACTTCAATGTTAATGTCTGTTCCGTCGGACGTGTCGGTGCGATCTGTAGGTATTTAGATATTAAAAGTGTAAAATATTGACGTTACGACACAGGATCGACATATTTGTTGGTTATATAATTTACGTATAGATTTATGTGATACAAATTGCGTTTGGGCATTGCGACCCAGACCATTGCTTTAGAGAGTACTCCTTGCGACGCGTCAGCGCTCCCCTCCACTGTTTGCTGTGTTACCTCCTCTACCTAATCATATTTGATACGAGCCTAGCAATGCCGCTTTGGATATTCGTTCAAGAAAAGCTTACTGAAGCTTTTGGCAATCATAGGTTTTAAAGTAGGTTATAGATGGATTTAGCTGGTAAACCCCTCGCACCCACTTCCACGGCATACAACGCAACGAAATAACCATTTTAGTTATTTCGTTGGTTAAGTCAAAGTATTTGTTTCTTTGAAAGCGTGGTCTTTAGGGATGTTTGTTTCCCACGGCACCATGAGTTCTACTAGTACTATACGCTTTATTGACATTGCTCAAAGAAATATGTTTGCTCTGGACGCCGAGGCACAGATATCCCGGTATTCTGTGATGATTTCATACGTGGCACTGCACATCGTACAAGCCTTTTCTGTAGCTTTGCCCCACCTTACTAGAATTCCAAAGGTCTTTTTAATTTCATGCCAAAGTTATTCGAGCCCCGAAAAACGTTGACGGGTCTGCAGATGGTGCCATGACTTCAATGTTAGTGACTTTACCAACTTTTCTTTAGTTAGTCCTATGTTCTTAAGTGGCTCTGGTTTATATCGTATACCATAAACGGCCAGTTGAAACATGATATTAAGTCACTCTCTCTCTTCCAAGCTATTCATCCCACGTGATGGTGGGTCAGCTTTTCTCGTCTGTCTACTCCACTTCGCTCTACCAACTATGTCGTCTTCGGCACCCTTACAGTCCTTCATGTCCCTCAGCACTACATCCTCCCACTTTGTCTTCGGTCTGCCATTGGATCTTCTACCGGAATCGATAATTGTAGGACTAAGTTGCCAATGTAGTCAAGCGGCCTCCTCTTTATGTGCCCCTACCATAGCAGTCTGCTTTCCTGCATTTTGTCGGCAATGTAAACTGGTACGTGCTCGTTCCATACCTTGTCGAGCCTGGTGTCACCGAACACCTCAGCATTTTCATTGCAACGGCAACTTGGATGGTGCGTATGGTTTTTCGTGTTATAGGCCAGGTTTCGCTGCCGTACATAAGGACTGGTCTAATGATGGTCTGGTAAACAAGACCCTTGAGTTGGACTGGCATTCTTTTGTCACAGGTAACACCAGTCACTTCTCTCCATTTTAGTTACGCCACAGCCATACGACGCTGAATGTTATGATCAACGTTGCACGAAACATACATCATACTACCCAGATATTTATATTGATGGAAATCGGATTACCCGTCGATGGAAATCGGAATGTGGCACATTGTAGACCATGTACTTTGTCTTTTGAACACTCAGCATTAAACCTCTGATCTGCAACTGGCGTTTCCACAACAATAGTGCCTCCCGTAGTTTAGTACAAACGTGCCACCCTCTGTGCCACCTCTGTAAGTGTGTCCAGAACCAGGAAAAACAGGAAAGGACTTAGTGCTGACTTTTGGTGTAAGCCCTCTGTTACAGCTATAGAGTATGTCTCATCCGCTACCGTCCGTATCATCGACCTAGATCCCATATACATGTCGGCGACGATGCTTGCGTAAAGCTCGGGGACATTCTTTTCGCCGAGGCTCCAGATTGTGAGAGATGTGATGTTAAGTAGTTGTCGTAAATCCAAGCTTTTTTTACGTTACTTATTGGCTATTGTTCTATATTGTCAATGTCTTTTACGAAGTCATTGACTATTGCCTTTATAGATAGAGTATGATTTTTTTAGTCTATCTTTCTTCCAAGGAATTTAAAGTGTATGGTTTCTGATATTGTTTAAACACTTTTCCCACCAATAGTAATCCCGAGGTCGTATGAGGTATATCTGGTACCTCGCTGGCCCAGACAAAGGCAATAAATAGCATTTGCTAGGTTTTGTCCTCATTCCCTCCGTACAGGTACAAAAGTCATCCACCTTACGCAGTAGTTCTTGGCACTGCTCGAGTAACTGTGAGGATCCCATCTGTGAGGTCGTCTGCGAATGCTAAGATGGATGCCGTATATTTTTCAATGTCAATTGTAAAATTATTATTATTATTTTTAAGTTTAGCTGTTCTCTCATAAGTTTTATTGTTTTAATTTTAAGTTGTATTGAATGCAATATAATCAATCAAAGAGTATTAATTTGAATTCTATAATTAATACTAATAGTAACTTTACTTTTCACTTACTTACTTTTTAATTTATTACACTAAATAATGCTTACAATGTTTGTGTTTCAATAATGTGACAATAAATATTACATACATTTTTATTTTTCTTTACAGCTTCTTATATACAACCCTGCGATCTGAAGGACTCAAAATTTAGCGAATGTGTCAAACAACAAATAGAAAGTGCTTTAGATAAGTTTACAAAGGGCATCCCTGAAATGGGCGTTCCCTCTATAGACCCTGTTGAGTTGGAAAACATATATATAGATGGAAGTGGATTGAATCTTTCATTCACAGAACCAGCTATGCATGGACTTAGTAACAGTAAACTGACAGATCTGCAGTAAGTCCCTGATAACTGTACTATGTGTACTTGTACTTTTTTATTTCCTAAGAAATGTACAGAATTTTATGACTGAATCTTACAATGCTATGAAAACAATTGATATGAAGTTAATATGATATTATTACACAGTGTTTTCCAGTTCAGTACAATAATTAAAAAAAATTACACAGGTATTGCATTGTATGCAAATATTCACAACGCTCGTTTCAAATTAAATACAATGTGTATAGAAACATGAGTAATACAATAGGCAGAACGATAATTATTACAAATCAATGCAAAAAAACCTGCCAACAAAGGCATTGTTCTTAGATCGGCCTTATATCGTTACGAAGTTTATTAATAATTTTATTACTGTTATTTATTATAAAAAAAATATTAAGCACTTAAGATGATTAAACTATAATAAGTTCCTTAAGTTTATGCCGCCTTGTTAATTATTTATATTTTTTAATATTACCAATATGGCAAACAAGAACGCAGCATGCTTAAACTGCCACCTTAGCCAGAGAATCCTTAAACGATGTAAAAGATGTGTCAGAGTAACGCCCAAAATATTTCCGCTCAAACGTTTTAATTCCGATCATTTATTTGTTACCTACTCACTACTGCAATCTGTAATTTTTATTTTATTTTCAGAGTAGAAATAGGTAAAACTGAAGAGACGTTCTCATTGGCATTCAAAGGCAATATGAGTTTAACTGCTAAATATGTTGTTGACGGAAGAATTCTAATCTTGCCAATAACAGGCAAAGGGGACGCGATTGTCGACGCACGTAAGTAACAATACTTTAATAAATAAACACATTATATTGTAAACACATTATATATTATAAAATACATTAAAATTGAATATTCGAATTTACTATCTAATAAATATTACGAGGAATACTAATTCGTTTTATCTACTAAATATTGAAATTGTATCATCGATTACACTGTCGACAAAATAAATTGCTGTGATATACGTAATTATATTTATCAATTAAGATAACGAGAGTATATAAGTTATCTCTGTGAGAAATATATATTAAAACGTATTAACTTATTCAAAGTCAGACAACCCAGGTCATAACAGATACTTTCGGAAAATGTATTTTATCAAACAAAATGCCAATTTAAAAATCTACTTAGTCAAATAGGAATTAAACCTAATTCGAGTTAGATAAATTAAAGCCGCTTTGATCTATAAGGATTGTTTTGTGACATTGATGCTATAATTACAACAACATTATATGCTTAATTAGTCTCAAAAAGTCCAAAGTCTACATCCTACAATCCCATTTAATTCGAAACACGTGTATCTCGTGACGTGTTCATCTACGAGAAACATCAATAACTTCTTTGACTTCAAATAATTACAAATATTAATGTATTAGAAACGATACAGCCATGACATCACATTTTAGAAATATGATCGATGCAGGTGATGGATAATAAATACATTATTGCACCTGTGGTGCATTATTTAGTTTTTTTACTAAATCATGAAGATATGTTTATGACAATATATTACCTATGTTCTCAATATGAGGTGAAGATAATACATTTAAATCTTGGACATTTACATTTTTATCTACTTTTTGTTGGATTTACCTACACAATGGAATTACCCAGAAAAAATTGAGTTATTTTAACAGTTCGCACTTTTTATGTAGAAATTCTAACTATTTTCGAGTTCAAAACTAGCTCATAAAATGATCTGAAAAGTTTTGGATCGCCAGTGCACTTAAGTGAAATCGGTCCCAATGAAATTTCCCCAAAGGTCTTGGAGATCAGATCCCGGACAAACAGACAGACAAAAAATCTTGAAGGTCTTTTTGACTTTGACATTCTGTAAATCGTATTTAATACATGTATGGTCGGCCAAAACCTCCTTTCTAAGGAGAAGCCTAGGTCCAGCAGTGGACTATGAAAAGCTGTTGATAATGATGACGATGATGATATATAGATAAATGTGTTTATCACTAGACTAGATGGTAGACTGCTGATAATCATATTTATAAGTAAGTTTTATTATATTTATAAGTACGAGTAAGTATATTGATAAGCATATTAGCAATCGAAACGTAATATACCCTGTGTGGCCGTGTCAAATAGAATCGTCTTTTGTCACACTCACTCCCTCAATCCAGCCCTTTAACGTTAGACTCTTATGATATTGTTCGAGTCGGTCGATTAAAGTGGTTATAAAGTTAAAGTTAACTTTTTAATTTTCCACTAATGTTACCGTGCTTTAACAGATTGGCGATATACCTAATTATCTATGTATATAGTATCAATTATCTAGCACACACAATATTTCAAATTTTAACTAATGCTACTGCTATTCACAGAGGGCGTTGAGGTGAAAATAGATAGCAAACTCGTCCACGTGAAAGACAGCGACGGAGGCCTTCACTTCAAGCTGGTCCACCCAAAATACAAGTACACTATTGACAGGACAATTTTTGATTTAAAGAACTTGTTTAATGGAAATAAGCAACTAGGTAAGTAGAAACATTGTTGTTCAGACCACCAATCAACGAACCTTTTTTATCGATGTGTCATATCTGTGTATTGTTATGAATTATCGATTTTGTCCTTCTTCGTCCTCAACGATACTTAGATATTTCCGAAACTTGAACAGTGAATTTTTAATTACTTTCAAGTAGGTAAACTTGGCTATTCATTCATGTGATAATGAATGAGAATGCATTTTTAATTTTTAACATCGCTTATTTTTGATGTTATTTAAAAAAATATTATAAAATAATATTATTCATTATAATAGGAGTAATAGAATTACAAAATCACGTTCAAGTCAGTTTTAAAGATGGACACAATTAAATATTAGACATTTAAGTGCTACTGCTTTTAAAGCGATTTACTCAATACAGAACGAAATATGTATAAAATTGTTTTAATTTTATTATAATCATTTATTAAATTATGTTTTTGATACATTTTATAAAACAGCAGTTGGGTGAAATAACCAGCATTTAATTTTTATATGCATAAACTAAATTGCTGCAAGGATTATACAATACTCCCTCTAATATATACAGGGGCGTTTGTTTAAAGTCTAAAAGAATACCAAAGGGTAGAAGACTCTAACGGGACCTATTTCCTCGTCTTCGTGAAAACTAAATAAATCAATAAAGAAGATGTGAAATAACATGTAATTGCAGTGTGACGTACAAAGTTTTATAGATCCAAATCAAAATAAAATCATTTTATATATATTGTTTGCAAAATAACAAGATGATGGTGGGGAATCATGCCGGCCGGTTCGGCCGGAATGATTCCAAGGCCTTGCACAAAACTAGGCCCCAATTCTACTATTTTATGTTTACGCCAAGCCACTGTCATTCCATTGGCACGCTATTGAGATGTTATTGACATCGGTCAAAATATCAGTATTCTACTAACATAAATGCACAGTGTCAATAGACTGTCAATATAGTAATATTGGCGATATCAATAACATTGCCATACCTGGCAACTGAACTGAAAACTGTTACAAAGACATAGACGATATTTGTATCAGTGACAAGTCATGGGGAGGCCATTGGTCTTACATAGTTAGTAGAATAAGAATACTGCAAAACTATTCCAACGACATTCCATCGATAGTCTGTTGATACAATATTAAAATAGCAGAATTGAGGCCCTGGTGTTAAGCAATTTTCTCGTTGCTTTTCATCGAGTGAAAAATACCAAGGGGGGACGCAAAGAACGGCAACGCGGACTCTTGAGTTGGCCATATAGGCAGCGCTAGTCACTTACCATCAGGTGACCCGTCTGCTCATTTGCCCTCTAAATCTTAAAAAGACTTTTGATATCAATAGTGGATAGTCATTTGGACTCAGGTAATACTCGGCTGTCTTGCAAAGTAATTATTTAATGTATTTTACCTTTTGATGTCAGCGTTGTCCTTACACTTTCACATACGAGTACATGTAAGGAAGTATGCTTTAAGGTCAGTGACTTCTGAAGTCCTTACACGAGTACCTATTCGTTACGTATCATACGTTCTAAAGTATACTTTACTTACTTTTTCATACAATTCAATTTGCAATTAAACAGAGGCCTTACCTGGTAGGAACAGGTAATAGGTGCCCATATTGTTGCTATAGAAAGGGACAACTCCACACTAGTAGACGGCACCCAATCACTCTCGGACCGAAGAATCATTTTTTGTAGGGTTTTTTGGACCGAAGTTCCTTATCGCGCATTACACGCTCTGAGCGGTGAGGAGCGAGACCGAAAAACATGTGACACTTCAGTTGAGGCGTCGATGCTCACATCTTTTACATATTTCAAGAGTTGATCTGTGTATTTCATATAGTATATATACTCGTAGCAAACGTCTACCAAAAAGCGAAAGGACCACTCACGCCGCCTATCGCAGTCCACTGCTGGACATAGGCCTCTCCCATTGCACGCCACTTAGATCGATTTTGGGCTTCTCGCATCCAGCTCCTGCCAGCCATCTTGCGCAAATCGTCACTCCACCTGGCCTGTGGGCGTCCTACACTACGTTTGCCGAGACGCGGTCTCCACTCAAGAACTCGTTTTCCCCAACGGTTATCGGTTCTGCGGCTAATATGGCCAGCCCACTGCCACTTCAGCTTGCTGATCCGGTACGCTCAGGATGCTCTAGGCAGGCAATTCAAACAGAAATCTGCTATATGCTGTTTGTTATGCCCAGCATGTAGTTTCCGAGTTGGATAGGGCATGGTGGTCGTAATCGTGAATTGACAAATCCTTTAATATGTAATATAGTGTGCTAATGGTATTTTACTAAATACATATTTTATTGTATTGTGTTGATTTTATTTAAAAAAAACTGTCATCAGCGACGGTTTTTCTCTACGTTACCTAATATTATTCAATGTGTTAACTTTCGCGTCACTAAATATTTCCCCCTATCATTCCACTGTTGTAAAATATACATTTTTATTTTTGATGATAGAAAGTGTACTTTAGTAAAATCTGTATCAGGTTTTTAAATTAAATTAACTTAAAAAACTTAAAGTTATATAATTTTAAATCGAATTAAATAACTTTAAGCTCAGCAGTTCAGAAATATTAGGATCTTGCCGAAACCTACTCCTTCGTGATACTACTTTTTGTTTTCTTACCCCACGCCTATCACTCGATCTCTATGGTCGCTATGCCGTCTCGTGCTCTATAATTATATCATCCTAAATTATACATTTATTTTCTGCTCCGGAATAATTAAACGTTGTTTGAGCATTGTTGTTTATCACTTACTAGGTGTAATATTATAGTTCCACATAGAGTCAACAATAGAAACAGAGTCAATAGAGTCAACAAACTATATTACACTGCATTAGAGTTACTTTGTGTCAAAACAAAGCCAACCAAGATAAAACAATTCGCTTCACTTGTAATGATAATCGGTAGGTAATTGGTATAAGAAATTGCTTATGTAGGATCACTATCCTGGTGACATAACACAAGCAATATATGGTACGAGTAATAAACAGAACGACAAATACCAAAAAAAAATTGTGTGTGTGGTTATAAGAACTAAGTTAATTTCTACGTAGGCTAAGTTTTTTTTTTATGTAAGAGGAGCATAAGAGCAAACGGCCACCGGGCCACCTAATGGAAAGTGACTACCGCCGCCCACGAAAGTCTGCAAGTCTGGAGTCACAAGCGTGTTGTCGGCCCAAGTGTCATAGATATTAAAATTTACTTACAGCCCCAATGACGAAATTGCTAAAAAAATAATATTTAAGGTTCTAAGACAAACATAACTAAAATCCTGACTCTTGTAGCTGCCTTCTCGTCAATATTTATAGACCAAAGACAATTAATTGTTCCAGAAATCTCTAACTGTATTTATGTATATTTTCAGCCCATACTACACTACAGTTCGCTAACGAGAACTGGCAGCAGTTGATGGATGAGCTGTCTCCACCCGCCATCAAACAAATCGTTCGCACTGTCGTTAAGGCCATCAACAAGTTCTTCTCAAAAGTTCAAATTAAAGATATAGTTTTAGGGTATAATGAGAGAGTACAAGATTAAATGTTCTGTGATTATTACATATTCAGAGCTTTATCTGGTAAGGATTATGATAATGTTAATACACTTATTTAAAAGGTGATTTAATTTATGCATATTTTAACAATTAAGTTCTCACATCAAATGACTGTTTCTATGGTAGTAGTAATTAATTATGTAGTAAAACGGATATTGGAGCGAGGATGTTACGAATTTCCTCATATCTCAAACGAAACTATTAAAAGCTTTGTTAACATTACTTTGAATTTCTCGTGGAAAATTGTCTTTTGTTTTATTTATTAATTCAATTATTTTCAGTTATAATATTATGATGTAAAATTTATTTCGTAATAAATATATTTAAATTAAATATGTTTTATTATATTTTACGCGCCAAGTAATAACTATCACAAACTTTCCTAACTTATTTATTAGATTAAACATTATATTACTCATTAGTACTCATTACATAATTAGGCAACGTGCATGGCATAAATTAATAGGCTCACCAGAGGCAGCTGTATGTTAAGCGAATTCATGGGGGGCACTTCCAGTTGTGTTTTATTTAGAAAAAAAAAAGGAAAGTTTACAACGTCGCATTATCCATCTATTCAATATTATCGTAAATATTTCAAAGCAGTTTAAGCTCATGGTTAAGCTATAAAGACTTACTGACACCGAAAAGAAATTTACTACAATGCGCACGGTAGATGATGATACAAATTTTATAAGAAGGCATGTTCAGTAAGGCAAAAGTTTTCACAGAAAATGTATCGAATATTTTTAGACTACTCTCGTGCACTGCACGAAAAAACTAAATGAACTTGCCGAGAACAACCGAGGTTTAATGATATTTGTCGACTGCACATACAGTATCATAAAAACCTCCTGTATGTTGCATGTAGTTTCTATGTAAAAACTGGAAAGATTTAGTTTCAAATTTAAATGTCAACAGTAGTACTCCCGTTTTGATATTGCTATTAGATTTATTTAATAAAAATCCCAAAGTGTTACTGTGCGCCTGCCCAAAAGTGTGCTTTGTTTAAACTGTAATTTCCATAAATTAACTTGGTAAACTAAAGAATACTAAGTTTATGGTCCATAAATCTTTTCTCGTTAACCAGCATTTCACATTTCTACATTTACATTTGAAGAAAATACGATAAATGATATAAACACCACAATTGTTAATAGGTTCTCATGCATAACAGAATTATCCTGAGGTCAAATCTCTAATTACGCTTAATTAATTAAAGAATAAGAAGAATACATTGGTTTAGTTTGTTCTATTTTTCCCACTCACAGTTAACAAGAGTGAGTGAGAGGTCAAAAGTTACGTTGGTCCTACACTATTTTGTTATTTGCATAGTAGATATCATAATTTCTTATTGTGTGACTTGAAATTGGAGAATCATGGCAGGTCAATTAAAAAAGGTACATACAATCAAAATTACAGAATAGAATGGGAAAATTCCGAGGAGTTCAAATTTCGTGGAGTCACCTGTACCAGGTGCCTCCACGAAAGCACTTTGTAGATATTGCCACTCAGAAATGTGTGCAAAACTGAATGATTTGAAGAAGCATTTAAAAACTAAAAAACATAAAGCTAAAAGTGAATTGATTTCAAAAACTAAGCAAATAGCACTATTCACAGGACCAGCAAAGATTTGTAAGACTTCAGCAAGAGCTGAGTGTACCTAAGCTTTACATATTCAAACTTTAAACCTTATAGCCAGCGAGATGGACATACGAGTATTCTGTTGTGCTCTAAGTAAATTCATATGGGTAGCGTTGAATGTTGTTTGTTATAATATGAATATGGAATACGACAGGCCTTTCGGTCTGGTGGGCCGGGGGTCGAGTAGTTCTGTGATGAGCAGGTTAGTTTACTACCGTGTCTGGGAGTGGTTTGTCTGGGGTGTGTGTGTTTGGAAGTATATGGGCGGGATGAGTCAGGTTGTTATAATCGTTAATATAATAGGTATTATTTATTACAATACATATTTTTAACAACGAATGGCTACATTATTGTTTTAGGTACAAAACCTATTAAAATAGTTGTATTGTGTGTCATAAATAAATAAATAAATAAATATTGCCAAACAGTGCAGCCATGTATTACGAGTAGTGGTTAAATTCGAAGTTATTTACGATTTTCCGATTAGCGACTTCTAGCGTATTTTAGGGCAACGGTTTTTCTTTCGAGGAATTTTAGAAACCATCTAGCGACTTTTATTTTCGTTCAACGGCAACACTGATGAAAATGCAATGCAGTAGTTCAAAGAAGCCGGAGTTGCGTACACATGTAACATCCATTTTCTTTAAAAAAAATCGTAAACTCGCAGTTCTGCAATAAAAAAATATTAGAAATAAAAAATATAGCATAATTTGGGTCATGAAACATTGACTAACAATGTTCCATAATCCAAATTATGCTATATTTTATTAGAACTCAGTAGTTCTGTCAGCTTTAAAAAGCTTGAGTGTATTCGAAAGCTCTTAGAATGATTACAGGTAGACAATAAGATAGGTACATAATAAGATAGTCTGATTAATGGCCAGCAGTGAGAGTGTGGAGAGCGTCCATACCATTCCAAATGACAATTGAATTATTTTATGGTTGGGTCGGTCAGGTATGGTGGGTTAGGTTTTCATTGTATTTACTGTAGTTTACTACAGTAAACACTATGAATACCTGATATGTCTCTTTGAATTAATGCAAGCACTTAGTGAAGAGATAAAATCAAACAAGAGACAACAAGAAACAGAAAAAATCTTAGATGTAGGAATATAGATTGATATGTTCATTACGTGTACGTATGAGTTTGTATATGTATACTTATGCATATGTTACACTCCTGACATTAAACTTTGTATATCACTATAGGTATTACTTAATTTATAACACATTTATTTATGCTTATTATTTATACACCTATCTACATACAACGGACGAAAATTTAAGCAAAATTGATACTCTAAAAAAAAAAAAAAAAAAGTACAAGTCCTAACCATCCTCGCACACACGCTACACACACACACACACACACACACCCACACACCAGACGCCCATACACACACACACACACGCCCTCACAGCGCAACCATTCGTATATATATTTTTAATGCAAAATCTTTTTACTGTTTACTCATTCACACACTCTAGTACGCTTTTGACATGTTGACAAATCTGCTAAGTGTTATGTAATGGGGGGCCTGGAGATCTATAGTACAGGCCTCGGCTTAGTTTAGACTCCAGATCTCCCACAAATTGCAAATTTCTTGACAGTTTTCCTGTCAACTGTTAAATATAAAACAAAATGTAATTTGTGGAGATGAAATAAACATTTTTATTATTATTATTATTATTCTCTTTATTTACTTTATATACATATTATTTACATTTTTAAATATACACTTTATAAAAAAAATACATTCAAAAATATAAAAAATAGTAGAACACCGACATCGGGTACAGGGACCAAGACACCGGTGGTTAGGACTCCAAAGATAGGAACCTCCTCACTATACGAGCCGTGTCAAGGAGGACTGCCTTCTGCATCAGACCCTTGATCCAGCCATCCAACGTGAGCCTCTTAAGGTGTTGGTCGAGGCTCTTGGCTATCAATCCATGAGCAGATACGACTATCGGAACAATGATCACTGAATCAACATTCCACATATCGACAATCTCGTGAGATAAATCCAAATATTTAATTTGTTTTTCTTTTTCAACTTTCACGAGATTCTCGTCATGAGGAACGGCGATATCAACAATCATTGCGCGGCGCTCTAATTGATCTATCAACACAATATCAGGCTTATTGGCAACAATAGTCCTGTCTGTGATAATAGATCGATCCCAATACAACGTGGCCCGACCATTCTCGAGAACTGGGTCGGGCACATACCTATAGTATGGCACCTCTATATTCACAAGATGGTATTTAAGGGCAAGCTGTTGGTGTACGATCCTGGCTACTTGGTTGTGCCTGTGCAAATATTCTCCGTTAGCAAGACGAGAACAACCAGAAATAATATGCCTGATTGATTCGCCAGGACGGTGGCATGCCCGACAGATGTCAACCGTACCATCTTTCAGGATATATTTCCGATAGTTATTCGTCATGATAACCTCATCCATAATCGCACAAACAAAACCTTCAGTTTCTCCAAAGAGATCACCATGCCGTAGCCAAGTCGTAGATGCTTTTAAATCTATATCGGACCCGTTTAGGGCCCGATAAAACCGACCATGGAGCTCTTTGCCCTTCCATACTTCCCTGCGATCATTAACACCAAGTACTACAGGTCTGCGCCAATTCTCTTTAGCCAGAGCGAGCGGGGTGAAGCCGGTATCCACTGCAACTACATTGCGATGCACTCCCACGTCGGTATGTAGAAAATATTCTCTGAGATTGCATACCTCGCGATTATGTAGGGTCTTGATATTTAATAAACCGCGACCCCCCAAGCTTTCGCGGGATATACAATCTCATAACTGATGAACGTGGGTGGTGCATTCGGGATGCAGTCAGCAGTGTGCGGACTTTCCTGTCAAGGGCATCTAATTCGGTCTGAGTCCATCTAAGTATACCAAAGGAATACATTAGAACCGGCATGACCCAACCATTGCAGGCTCGCACCTTGTTGCCCCCTGATAAAAGACTTTTAAGTACTTTTTTCAAGCGGCCAAAAAAGCGTTCCTGCAATGTTTGTTTCATGTTAGATTCTGGTATTCCCAACGACTGTGATATACCCAGATACTTGTAAGTTTCAGTGGCAGACAGAGATCTGAGTTTTGTTGAATCCAAAAGCTCTATTCCTTCAGATTCAACTATCACACCCTTCTTTACATACATGACTGCACACTTGTCTACACCAAATTCCATTTTGATAGAATTACTAAAGTTTTTCCGTCACCTTTAGTAACTTTGTCAATTGTAATTTGTTGGAGGCTAACAGTTTCAAATCATCCATATAAAGAAGGTGAGATATAACTTGATCATCTTTCTGCAACCTATAGCCTAACCCTGAACCCTCTAATAAAGTGCTAAGAGGGTTCAAAGCCAGACAAAACCACAAGGGACTCAGACTATCACCTTGAAATATACCCCGCTCGATCTTTATTAGTACATCGTGTATCGCTGTCTGCCGACATCCTGGATAGCGAAGTGCCGTTCTCCATTGCCCCATACATGACTTCAAGAAAGTGCACAGAGTTGTATCAATTTTATACAACTCCAGCACCTTCAAAAGCCATGTGTGTGGAACCGAGTCATAAGCCTTCTTATAATCTATCCAACACGTCGCCAAACTCTTACGATTACAACGTACCTGTTGGCTAATGGTCATGTCTATGATAAGGAGGTCTTTAGTGCCACGGGTCCCACTTCTACATCCATTCTGAGAAACCGACATAATCGAATTATTATTAATATGTAAAGTAATTTTGAGTCTCAGAATAGATGTTAGAAGTTTATACATGGTAGGTAAACATGTAATAGGTCGAAAATTTTGGGATCCATGACACTACCAGACTTATAGGGTAAGTGGGTTATGCCAGTGGTTAAAAATTGGGGTAATGAACCCGAATCCAAAGCTGCCTGGAATTGAGATGCCAAACGCGCATGTGAGCTTCGGAACCACTTAAGCCAAAAGTTGTGCAGTCCGTCTGGACCAGGTGATTTCCAATTCGGTAATGAACGAACTGCACAACTTACATCATCTTTATCAATTTTAACAGGTTCCATAGGTGTTATAGACTCACATGAGCGTCTGACATCCTGCAACCAATCACCTTCTAGATGAGTGACAGGCACCGACCAGATGTTACGCCAAAATGTATTTCATCAACACATGGATCCGGTTCCTCCCATTTCCGGTACACCCACTTCTCATTTCTTTGGAACATCCGATTCTGATTATACCGATCTATTCGTTTTTTATACCGTCTTATCCTATTTGCCCATGCATAAATTTTCTGCTTTAGAAAGTCTATGCGCTCTGTGACACATGACATGTACTGTTGAGGACTAATGGTAGTCCCCAAGAATGCCTGTTTCACAAAGCGCATCACTCTCGGCCGCATATTCCCTGATCGGTAGCTAATAAGCTTACCGATGAGTGTCCTGGTCTCAGTAATACGACGTTCAATTCTATACTGCCAAGCTGGTACAGTAGATTTAGGTCGAGTAGTAGTGACATTGTTAGCTATTTTAACACCAGCTACTCGACAAACTGCAATAGCCGCACAATATAGAATAGAATGTGTATCACTAAGATCTTCGCTATTATCTAAATATTCAGGCAATAACGAATCCAGGGCACCCACCAACGCTAAATTTCGTTTATGAATGGGCAAACGGAATAACCGGGGCCTATCATTGCAATTTAAATATCGGTATTCCAGAATCGCATCCTCCAAAGCACTCCTTATCCTATCATTGTATTGGGTACTTACGGATATAACTTCACTCTCCACTAGTTCATCAATATCATCAGTATATGATGCCAACTGAGGTGTGCTGTTGGCTACCGAATCCACAGTGTGTGACGAAGAAGGGATAATTAAGCTATTCCGTATGTCAGAGCGTATCCTCTCAAGTACTGCATCATCCAGCAGATGACAGCGCTGTATAGCTCGTACTTGATCCGACAATCGTTGTGCTGATTATAATAGACTTTGTCCACTTCAAATAATAGACTTTCTTCACTTTTCTATTATTATTATTAAAATCACGCCTCATTTAGTAAAAACAAAATGCAATCTCAACTTTTTTCAGTAATACACTGCTGTTATAAATCACTTGTTGCTTCTCGGAAAATCGTGAACCTTAACATGGACATTGTATTTTATCATATCATGAATGCAGAGTCACAGTCGTATTTTCATGGATTCATTTTTTAGAAATAGATCTTTGTTATATATGTAGTATTACTAGAGTAACATTGAGTCCTTCAAATTCCAACGACCTCACGACGATCAAGTAAAATTTTATTTATGATTATTCATGCATCTCATTTCCATGCTGGCATATGGACTATGCGCGCGTACCGACTCACCTAGCTAAATTGCGTAGGTATGCCTGTGGGGCTGAGTTGGCCGACTTTTGCATTTTAACAGATTACAATAGGATTTTTTTAAATCCTATTAAATTTTTAAATCAATTTTCGTTATTACGTTTTGTAAATATATATCTCTGTTTGTTCCCATTGTTTTATTTATTTTAATATTTATAAGGGTTTTTTTTTTAAATCATGTTCTGACATCACATACACTCCCGTGTAAAAATATGTTCTTTTTTTTATTAAAACGTTATCACATCGCACATCACTGAAGTTTATGACTTAATACGAAAAAAAACTTCTTTTTCAAGTTATTATCGATTTATTGACGTAGTTAACTAACATAAAACATTGATGAAATCTTAATCTACAAAGTCAATTGAGATTTTTAGTCTAAAAATATGAGACAGCCAAGTAGTTATAAGAATATGCATTAACTTACAGAAACTGTTTTAATAAACAATTACTAATATCTTTGATGGAAGCACTTCCTTCTCACTATTGACAGTTAGGTACAGAAATAAATCAATCAAAATAATAAATCAATGTAAAATTTTATTCTTAAACCAAAAAACTTTTTGCTTCGAGAAAATATCGTCGAATTTATAAAATATGTTAAGGTAAATATATCTATGTACTACTAGCAAAATCACATTTAACAGTATTTTCAAATCCGCAATCAGTGAGCCAGTCAAGTGCGCCAAAGCCTTGAAGCTATAACCTCTGCCTATGTCCAAAGAAACGTACACCTAAGCGTAAAAAGGTCAATACATAAGCCCCAACAATTAAAAAAACCGTAAATATCAACTGGCAGTAAACAATATAGAAATTGTTATTTCTTATTTCATATAGCCTAAATGGTTATATGAAATAAGAAATAGCAATATCAATTTCTAATAATCTTAACTATTCACTATGTTTCTTTGACTATCCACACTATTGTCTGAAGCGTTACTACTTCTTGCAAATGAAATAGCAAATTCATCATTTTCAACGTTCCTGAAGCGGATTTTCCATGGAAAAGGTTTTCCTTTCTTGTACCACACCACTCCAGCCAATACGATCACTAGTAAAAGGATCCCAATAACCATTCCAACAATGCCAGCTTGATGTACAGGTCCTAAGCCAAAGGTTGGTAATTAGACTCAAATACATCAAATTTATATAAAAAAAATACAATATGAACCTTAAGGGGTGTTTAGAAAAGCTTATAATTTATGAGCAAAGCTCGAATGACATTCTATGAACACATTAAGCAATATACTTACTGCGAGTGCTGTTAATGTCAGAGTATACAACTGTAATTGTATCCCTTGACTCTTGAGTGTCATCGTGTACCAGACCTGCACAAGTCCATTGCCCGATATCTTCACTTCTTACAGGGTTTATGGTCAAAGAACAATCGCCGTAGTTCAAACTTCTCTCAGGGGTAAAATAAAAACGACCAAGGACAGCGCTGAAAAAATAATTGTTTGAAATGTTACATTCCATAAATCGCGAAGAAGAATCGTTGTACTTTATCAAGTAAGACAAAAGAGAATTTATTGGTAGATTAAAAACAATAGGAGATATTAGTGAATAGTAAATTATTATAGGTATAAACGCCGAAAAGTTGTTGTTAGTGTTAGTGCACAAAAGTATGGAAACAGGGTACAAAGAAGTCATTGGCTGGGGGGATATAATAGCCATTTAAAAGTTGGGGAAATTCTTTAAACTAGCATTCTTAGTTTTAATTATCTGAGAACTGCCGCACAATTCCAAGAATAAATAACTTTTATTCGAAAGCCATCTTATTTTAATTTAAAATTCAGTAATTTGTTTTAGATAGTGTTTTGTTTTTGGAAATTGTTTTCAAGTTTTGAATATGGGTTCCTACGTGGAAATACCGCTGCGCAAACAACACGAAATATTAACGACGTATACGGGCCTAACATTGTTTTGCATAAACACTGTTCAGTATTGGTTCAAACGTTTTGGATTTGGAAATTTTGAGTTGATAAACAAGACTCGCGGACGGCCGGCAACTATAGTCAACAACGACGAATTGCGGGCATAGTGGAAGCGGCTGCAACTCAATCTACGCCTGAGCTTTTCTTCTTCTTTTGAATCGAATTGCTACCTGCGATGAAAAGTGGATCCTGTACGACTACCGTAAGCATTCGCTTCAGTGGGTAGTCCAGGGTACAGGATCTAAGGATCGTGGTGGACTTGTACATCACAGCTTCTTATCGAATGTCACAACAGTGACGACAGATGTCTATTGCCTAGAATTGCACATAATGATGGAGAAGCTCGCAATTCAAATCTGCGTCACCCAACGTATATCAACGTATACAACATATTTCAACTTTTTTCAACATTTAGACAACTTTTAAAAAAAAATACCACCCGAGAGGTACTACAAAACGCTTTCGCTGACTTCATCGCCTCCCGTCTAGCAGACTTCTACAGTACAGAAACAAACGGTAATCTAAATGGCAAAATTGTATAGATTACTTGGGCCAGTACTTTGATTAGCTAAAATAACAAATAATAATAATATTCTACCACATACACACGATCCGTGTGGTGACGGATTAAGAATACGTAATGTCACCACCGCTATTCATCCCGTGGGTGTCGTAGAAGTCGACTAAGGGAGAAAACTACGCAAGACAACAGCACTGCAAAGAGAAGGAAAACTTGCAACAAACCCTTTTTTTTTTTTTTTTTTTTTTACGTGTGGAAATCCCCTCGGACCGTCACCCCTCCGGGGTTTCCGGCGGGGTGGTGTGTCGGACTCGGACCGACTAAAACCACACGGTGTGCCACTCTGCGCCTGTAACAGGAGGGATCCGGGAACAGCTGTTGTTAAGACATCCGGACCCCTCCTAGCGCCAGCCCGCTCCTGGTGCGGGCTCCGTCTCAATGTTTTCCTCTCTTTATAGGCGACGTCCGGCACACGCGGACGCCGCCCCCTCGCGGCTGGCCAAACTAATGCGGGTGGAGGGGAAACCCACCCCGTCCACCCGCGGCCACACTCAGGGCGGCATGAGGCTGTGGTAGGCGGGCCTCCGCCGCCCGGTTCGCCGGCGGCGGATCGGGTCCGAGTGGAGGTCGTCCTCCCGGGCCCTCTCCGCCGCCTCCTTCCGCGAGATTACTACCTCGCAGAAGGTTGCGACCCGCGGTAAAACAACTGTCGCTACCGGCCATGGAGCGTACTACGGCCGGTAGCGAGAGATCCACTCCGATGACTGCAGTGAGGGCCCGGCGCTGCGCCGCCCATGCGGGGCAGACCGCCAGCGTGTGCTGGGCGCATGCCACCTCCGTCGACACGGTGCGGTAGCCGCGTATGGCTCTGACCGCCATTACCCTCTGAGGGCGCCAGAGGCGTACCCTATTCTGGGCGGTCAAAGCCGCCGCCCACACCGGTGCACCGTACAGTGCCATTGACCGGACAACCCCCGTGTACAGCCGTCTTGTCGCGACGCTGGGTCCACCCATATTGGGCAAAAGTCGCCCTAGGGCAGACGCAGCGCCGACCAGCTTTGGAGCAAGCTGTCGGAAGTGCTCGTCGAAGAGCCACCTCCCGTCGAGGATCAGGCCCAGATATTTCATCTGGGCCCGAACCGGTACGAGGACCGAGTTGACCACGATTGAGGCGCCAGGGGGTGGACCACGACGGGGCCCATGAAATAACAGGGCCTCCGTCTTATTTAGGGCCACCCGTAAGCCCAGCGCCTCAATGCGCCCGACCACCAGGGAGACTCCCCCTGTGGCCAGGCGCGCCGCCTCTTGGAAGTTTGCCCCCCCGGGCTGTAACCAGTGTATCGTCTGCGTAACAGATTACACCCAGCCCGGGGGGGAAATCGGCGCGAAGGGCCCAGTCGTACCCTATGTTCCACAAGAGGGGTCCAAGAACAGACCCCTGTGGAACACCGCACGACATGGGCCGACACCTCAAATTACCTTCTCGGTCCTCGTACACGACGGTACGCTCCTCTAAATAGTCTGCCACTAGCCGCCTCAGGTACTTTGGCACCCCATGATAGTGGAGTGCTTCCCTGATGCAGCTGAATGGCAGACTATTGAATGCGTTGGCGATGTCTAATGACACCGCCAACAGCACGCCGCCACAGCTCACGGCCTCTTCGGTCACGGCCCTCAGGCGCAACACGGCGTCGACTGTCGAACGCCCCGCCCGAAAACCAAATTGGGCGTCCGACAGATCGGGGCCCACCTCGCAGAGGTGCCGGACGATGCGGGCAGAAAGAACCCTCTCAAACAATTTGCCCGCCTCGTCCAGCAGCACGATGGGCCTATAGGCCGCGACCGAATCGGCAGGCCGTCCCGGCTAACAAACCCTATACCAACCCGTCTGGCCAGCGTGGTATAGTAGGCCAAAACCTCCTTTCATAGGAGAGGCCTATGTCCAGCAGTGGACTATCATAGGCTGCTGATGTGATGTGATGTGACATACACACAACGCCATCTAGTCCCAAACTAAGCAGAGCTTGTACTATGGGTACTAGACAACTGATATAAATACGTATATACTTTTTTTTTGTAAATACACACATATACATAGAAACACCCAGACCAAATCAAACATCAAATGTTCATGCACACAAATGTTTGACTTGAGCGGGAATCGAATCCGCGACCTTTGGAATAGCAGGCCGTTACACAAACCACTACGCCATCCAGTGGTCACAAAATAACTTAAATTTTCATATTTCATAATTTTCATCCAAATCTCCAACTTCATAGATAAAGGCCTAATATATTTTGGATCAGTGTAACCGTAACTGTAAACTAACTTAACTGATATCCGGAATAGTTTATTCATAAAGATATGTTATCATAGGGTAGGAAGTCTATTTGTGTTTTTTCTATGATTATTTTAACAAAAAAAAATATCCTCCTATTTAAATTTTAGTATTATAATTACTTGAAAATATCCATTACGGATATTATCTGTAACTTATATTACCCGAAACTTTGAAATAAGCTGTATTGTAATTTAGTCCGTTGCCGTTCATTATTATTCCCTAACTTATACGTATCCAGATTAAAATTTCACAAAATAATATATAACATCCATAGTCCAATCACTGGAAATACAAATATCATTAAAATAGTATCGAAAAAATCACCGTAGGTACGAATAGTTTGTCTGAGTCTGCCGAAATTAATATCGTTGTAGTATCACAAGCTATTACTGTGATAATACTTAAATATAAATAAACTTGCGATTGCAATCATCTACAATTTATTTCATTGTGATTTACAACAATTTTGTTTGATAATAATTAATCATTGGTAATATGTATTGGTAAAGCCGGTTACTAAGTTACGAGTATCACGACTTACGATGATGATTTAAACATGTAAGCTACACGTGTACCACCCTCCCAGTCAAGTATAACCCTAACTTACAAATCAGAATTTATCGTGCATGTTAGAATGTACATCCTGTGACTAGATTAATTTACAAAGATTTTTTTGTTGCATCATACGCAAAAAAAGTAGTTTTTGGGTATCAAATTACTTAAGTATAAAAGAAACCTTTAATGGGTCGTAGAGTACAAGGTCGTAATTTTAAGATGCGTTTAAAAATTATGCGTTGAATAGAAAGAATAGATCATCTTAAAAACAAAAGTTACTCAGGTACTCACTTTTCTTGTGTAACTGAAGAATCGATACTAATACCAACGGATTTTGGTGTCAGGAATCTACAATAATCAAGCGGTCTGGGTCCATTCGCAGTTTGGCAGTGTAATGTAACTTGCCCGCCATTTGTGGCATCTACTTCTTGTTTGTTGGCAGCAAGAGGTCCAGTCACTCTAACAATAACGTTGTCTGTCACTTCGACACCTAATTGATGCCTAGGCCCCATGTGGCAAATCCATTCGCCAGCATCGTCTTCAGAAACATGAGCGAAATTTATTCCACAGTCACCAGTTTGTAGACTTTCGCCGGTATACCTAGCAAATAGTGTATAGTGTTTAAAAATCAGTAAACCATAATTTTATTGGTTTACTGTAATGTACATATGTAATATAATGTAACTACTGTTACATTACACTAATTGTATAATTATATCTGTTAAATGTCATGAATGTATTTATTAAGAAAGGTTTTGTAACGGATTATTTTAACGGGTATTTGTTTCTATTCGTAAATTTTGAATTTATTTCTGTGTTTAGTTTTTATATGTTCTACAAATATGCGACATACAAGCCGCCATGACATCACATCAGCATTTAATGTCTGTGACAAACTAAGTTTTTGTATTTTGTTTTAAATTTTCGAATAGTTAAATCCGCCGTTTTACGTAAAAATATTGAAATGATCGTGCTCATCACGCAATTATTTGTCCTGAGTAGGAATTGAACCTGCAACCTCTGGCCTATCAGTCAGGACCACTAACCACTAGACTAGTAAATAGTAAAATGATTTATGAAAATATACTCAATGCAAAGATTTCGTACTTAAATTAAAAACCCTACCGGTTCTTATAGTTATTTGCTAATAAGTGTTAACTTTGTTAATGTTTAAAAGTTAGAAATATAATAAAAATCACAGCGACATGACAGCTCTAAACGGGTCATTGCATACTTACCAAAAGTTACGTTGTTCCTCGGCTTGACGTTCCACAGGAGTAAACTGAGATCCATTAGGATGCTGAAACCAACAATACGCAAGGGACACCTCCGCTCGACACATAATAATAAGGCTACTATCCCTCTGTACGAGTAAAACTCTACGTTCATCTTCCGCATTTTTAGTTTCACGTAAAAGTCCTAAAAACAACTTTTCTTAGTACAAATACAAAAAAATACCAATTTTGGATTTGGCAACATTCCGTTCTGACACAACTTTGTTTTGGTCTTCATATTCAGTAAGGCAATCGATTTTATTCATTGCACTAATTGTACAAGGTACCTCAAGAAAAAAAGCCGTCAGTCAATTAATTGCAGAATATTGTCCTAACTTTCTAATCTTTACGTTTCAGCAATTCTTTAAAATTCACTGCAAGTGGAGGACTCGTCACTAGTCTGTAAATCTCTTTAAGCTTCAAAAACCCAGTGGTTTGTCTTAAAATGTTGTACCGAATAAATAAACTGGCTTAAGAACATGAAACGGGTTCTCGTGTGTGGTAATTTGGAACTTTATTTGCTCAGTTTATTTTTCATGAGTGACTATCAACCATGTTGAGGCTTTGGAGGCTTAGGCTATATACATTGCTTAGGAGTTGGCTGGAATAAATTAAAGTTCCTTACAAGTACCTACCACACGTCTCAATTCCAAATTATAGATTTACCACATATAAAATAATAATAAAATATTGTTTTAATCTTTGTTATTCTTTTTTAATCCCAGGATTGATTAAATTTAATCCCGAAACAAAATAGACCACAATCAAAATCCCGGGATAGAATCCTCTGCATGCCTCTTATTAATGTTTTCTTGAGTCCTTTTATATTTTTTGATTGACCAAGTCTAATACTGGTATGCTACGATTTATAAGTAAATACTTACTGAATGAGCGAGATGTATCGCGGGGCACTACTCGTATAAGTGCCTGCATGGGAGTACTTTGTACAATATTATTGCCTCTCCACTCTTGTGTGCCTACAGTACATCTCCAGGTGCCGTAATCATCTATGTTAGGTGATTCTATACTCATCCCACACTCCCGCTTCGCAAACCCCTCGCCGTAATAACTGTAAGAAAATTGTAATTTTAAATAAACGCTTCTATTTTACTTTTTATTTATAGAATGTGCGCAAAATATTTTGGTCAATATTTTTGTAATATACCAACAATTTACCAACAATTTTTCTTTACGTTCAATCCTTGAAAGATTTATCCTAATCGAATAAAATTCAGTTGCGCTGTGTTAGAGCCGGTTGAATTTGTTATTATACATATATTGGTAGAGGGTAGTGAGTGATCCACAGCGGCTGTATTAACTCTCTCCCTTAAAAGGTATTTTCCATCCCTGGAACGCAGTCAAATCCCAATATGATGTCCAGCACCATTTTGAGACGCCACTTCACGGAGACGCTAATCTCTAAACGATCTGACTTAGCGTATCTCCATTAGCCAGGATATATCCTAAAGACCTAATTTCATCTCCATGCTGACGTGTGGATATATTCTAATTTGATTTACCTGCGACGTCCATCGCTCAATCCATCCATAATGTTAAAACCAGCAGACTCCGCATTCTTTTGAAATCTACAAAAGGTTATATTTCTTTCGGTGTGCGCAATATTACAGTATAAGCTTAATTCAGTAGCGTCTTCCCTGTACCCAGACACCAATTGCTCATCTGAAATAAAACACAATCTCATTTCAATTAACTTTTGCCGGAAAATATAATAGTAATACCTCCTGATAACGAACCATACAGAGCCTATACATATTATACTAAAGTAATTTGCCTGTCGATAAACTTACTTAAATATTTTTAAATGTGTAGAGACGTGGGTTGGATCAAGGCCAGAGGTCGACTGGCTTACCAGTCAACCATCAGACCAACAGGCTTGTATAAAGAAGTTTATAAATCTCTCAATCTCATAAACTGTTTTCAGGGCCGGTCCTAGGGTGGCGCGAGCGGTACGATAACACCGGGCGCCATCAAGGGGGGGGGGAGCCGAAATCAACCTAAACGTGATAGGCTGCCCCGACAAGTGTCCACAAACACCAGCGTGTAAACGGGGTGTTTACAGATCAAAGGAAGCTCGCGGCAAGGGTTTGCAACGTACTTACACGTTGGCTGACTCACTGCTGCTCAATTTGATATTACAAGTATTGTAGTTGAGCAGTCGGGCATCAACATTAATTCTCAATGCTTTACTGATTGAGCAGTTGATTTGAGCAGTAGGGCTACTTTGAATGAAAATATATCCACGTCCACTGTTTGCCTGTACGAAACACAATACACACTCGCAAGCGAGTAAATGGCATCCAAGCGTTAATTTTTTTTGGGACTAATCCCATCCACACGCCCACCACTGTAACTCCTGTACACCAGGATCCACAGCAGTGACCCACGAATACACCGAGTTATGACATTCGGGAAGTCCCAGGAAAAAATTAAACTGTCTTGGAACCCGCAACGAAATTAATCAGAAGAAAATTGCAGGAGTTGAAAATACAGTAAATCCACTTCCCTCCTTAGTAAAGCGGGAGACAAAATGAAGGAAAATAGGCATACACCCTTTTAAAAAAGGAAGGACCACGGCCACAAAATATTGCGGGTAATAGGTGAGCTATATTTGATATTTGAAATTCACCCTAGTTGACACAAGATCCCCATAGTATACTGCCCCAGATGTCACCTGAAAGCTATTTAGCATTATATTACGTTCATTATACCAAAGACTACATTCCCAGAGGGTATGATGAGCAGACTGTTCATAGTTTGAGTCAGGTGTTGAGCATTGACGCAATGGTGACTCGGCAAATTTAAATGAATACGGCTTACTCTTAAAGTTATCATGACCCGTAAGAAATTGAGCGACACAGTGATCCAACTCAAACCACGACAACCGTTCCCGAACAGATAAAAAGAACTGGTAAAGGTGGCGCGCCTTGGTTGATACGTCCCAGCGTTGTTGCTATTCGTCTATGAGGTCATTATAGACATCGGACTGCTGTTGAAGCAATATTGTAACAAAAAACCGCATGGCTGCACGTCTCTGCACCTCGAGATCGACCGGAAGCACACCCGCCAACACCGGCAAAGCCTCAGTGCTAACCGTCCTATATGCGTTATATATGATCTTTAGTGTATTAAATGATAGACCCAGAAACTTTTTTTAACTTTTTAATATGTTCGATAAATGAAAAGTTTATTTCTATAACTAATCCTAAAAAAACCTAAAACACACTGAGGTTTTATTTTTTACAGTGACATTGTCGATTTTAATGCTCGGCGGTGATTTGAGGTTACCTTTTAAAAGTAGCTGGAAGGTATTGTTGGGTGCAAAAGTTAAGCGATTACGTTCACCCCAATGAGATATCAAGTTCCAAGAGGTTTGTAAAGACTTTGAGATTGTGAACGTTTGCCAAGCCTCGGCACGCATGTAGACTAGGCATGAGAGAAACGACTCGCGGGACTCGTCACGGGACAAGGGAGCGAGCCACGGGGTGAAATTTCGCCTGTCACTTGTTTCGCTAGGCAAGCAGTCTATTAAATTGTCAATGAATATCTGTGTACAGTGTGGTTAACAGCTAAAAGTTACGTATTTAGATTATTATCGAAGATTTATAAATAGTAAACAGAAGTAAGTATATAAGTTACTTTTAATCTTTGCTAATGTATTTTGTAGCACTACGATAAGAAAATATTGATACATCCTGGAGGTGGATATTAATGTAGTTTCAATGGTTATGAGTGAACCACCTTTCGAGTTTAAACTAACACCGCCTTATTACACAATGCAGTTTAGTTTTAACTCCGAGTGAACAGAATGGTTTTAAGCAACTTATTGCTTCAAATCATGTTCTCAAGTTCTGTACACGGATCTAATAATCCCGTGGGTGTCGTAAGAGGCGACTAAGGGCGCAAAACAACGCAGGACACCAGCACTGCAAAAAGAAGGAAAACTTGATACAATCCCTATACCAACCCGTCTGGCCAGCGTGGTATAGTAGGCCAAAACCTCCTTTCTAAGGAGAGGCCTATGTCCAGCAGTGGACTATTAAAGGCTGTTGATGTGATGATGATGATGTATTAAGAAATTCTTCAAAACCACCCCGATAACCCAGGGTTAAACCTAAACCAGGCCTACGTCACTTTCGCAACAGAGCGATTTGGGCTGCCGCTAAATACCTAAATAGTCACCTAGCTGAGATTCAGCGGGCCGCCACACGCGAAACAGCATAAGAATGCATCGATATGGAGCGACGACGTCATTTGACACGAGATGAGATGATGAGAGCCGTTGGAATTTTGCAATTTGGTTCCAGGCAACGTAAGTTGGGTTTCGTTCTTGGCACTACTTGGGTCATAAGCCATCTTTGGGCACGCTATCGTATCACGAGCAGATTGCTATAATGCTATGATTTATCCGGAGTGGATTGTTCCAGACGTGATCATCCTTTTGCGCAGCCGGTTGGGTGATTCGTTTCGACTAATGCAGGAAAATGCACGTCCACAAACGGCTTTACCGTAAATAAGTTTTTACCATTACCATTAAGTTACTATTGAGGAGAAAATAAATAATTTATTATATTTATTGTTATTATTTTTCATTTGTCCACCACATCACATATAGGTACTGCCTACTGGTCAAACGAACTTTTCTACGATTGGACACTTTTGATAGCAGTAATTCGGTTTTATAATCCAATCGGATACCACCTATCGGTGGCATGTCGGACACGAACCGACTAAAACCGCACGCCGTCTCGGATACTAATAGCCGGGGAACCAGGAATACCCTAGAAAGGAAATCCCTGGTGCCCAGACCTCGCACCTCCTAAAACTTTTGATAGGACCGGCACTGACTCTCTTTATACTCCAGAGTTATGTGAAAAATTATACCACCATATTTATTCCCGCTAATTTATACGTTTTCACAGACTTTAACAGATAAAATGACAATGTTAAAAGTTAAATAGTTTTCACTCCTATGAAGTTTAGAAGAATAAAGATTAGATAGATGGAAAACGTAAGCAACAAAATTTAAAAGTAATGTAAACATTTTCTCATGGTGATATTATTGTGATAATAGGCAATGAAGCTTATTTATTCCTAAATTAGATTTTAAGGAGAGGAATATTTTTAAAACAATTATAAAGGTATAATCGATGATTGGATTTAATCAAATTGATTAGTCATTCTTCCAGTATTTTGGATTAAGCACTGTATTACTATTTTAAAGGAAAAACGACAGCAAGGCGGTCTCGTCAATCTGTTTATTAACCTCAGAGGTAAAACTAAGGTTGCCTCTCGTACAGTTATCGCTAGCTGGGTCAAATCGCTCTTATTACAAGCTGGCATAGCCGCTCCAGCGGGTAGCCTGCGATCAGCGGTGGCATCTAAGAGTTGGCTTAACAATTGCCCCTTGGATGAAATACTTGCTAGGGGTAACTGTCTCAAAACATCTTTGCCCGTTATTACTGTAAACAGGTGGTGCCAACCATTACAAGGCCTAGTTCTGAATTAACAAGTACATTTTCCCCAATTTGTTAAATAAATGTAGTAAGGTCAATAAACCATATTAATATTACTGCATTTATACAGATAATATGAATATCACATTGGCGTCCTCTTTCCACCAGGTGATAACAGACACGTCTCAATCTAGTAACCTTCAAATAACGGTCAAGTGTTTAATAGCAGTGTTTTACCTGAAATAAAACACACATTAAATACTTACCTTATTTGAAGCTTACATTCTAATTCTACCTGGTGTAGATTATCGACTCAATGAAATATAAAACTCTACCGAGCCTAAGCTGTCATCGGACAGCGCCACCTGGTGGGAGAAAGCATGTGTGCGAAAGAGATAGACATATATAAATACCACTAAAGAGCAAAAGAGAGGGAAAATAAAGCGGAAGTCAAGAACGCCACTCTCAATCTAGTAAGCTTCAAATAAGGTAAGTATTTAATGTGTGTTTTATTTCAGGTAAAACACTGCTATTATGATAAATCATTCAAATCAAAATTTAATGTAAAAGTTATTAAATAATTGAGGTATACCTCGGAAACACTTTAGAATGCACACCTTAGTATGTTTTCTACATACAATGTCCCATAAATCAATACAAACAAGAAATAGTAAATGATAAGAGGTAGAACTTGATTTAACCTCCAAATACATTACAGGCTATGTTATGACTTTCAGAAGACATAGACAGATTGCTATCTTTCCGATAACTAGGTATGTGTAAGTTATCAAAGATCAAGAACAATACTTAGTCATATGTCGTTTAAAACCCGAATATGCGAATGTGCTTGATTATCAAACTGCGTAAAATGTCTAAATTCCAGTGTCCCAGAACTTTAAAATTGTACTTTTTATTAAAAAACACTCGTATTAAAGGCTTATATTAAAGTCTTATTGTTGTATATATATATGTATGTATACGTTCGGTCCTGACAATAAATCAGTGTGCATCTAGCAAGCATTCGTTTCACTTGCTCTCTAGCTGTCATACATAACATTGGCAACGAGGACTGTAAAGTACCCACTAAAATAAAAAATACAAATCATTTCGGAATTTTGTTCGACCACTCTGTGTACTCATGGAAAACGTACAAAAGTCGTATTTATAATAATGTAATGGTAACGTAATGGTTTGTAGCAAACGACATTACAGCGGTAACCGACGCGACGGGAACGAAAAGGTGGGCAATCGGCGACCGTACCTTCAAACTAGCAGCTGACCTCGCTTTGCCGAAGGAGCTAGAAGAAGTGCCATATGAAGACATTTTACAACTGCTAGACGGACATTTTACGCCGAAACGTTGCGGGTTTGGTGAAAGAAGCAACTTCTACTTGGCATTGCAGCAAACAGGTTAGGCACCTATGCAATGGGCGGTTAGACTTCGCGGGCTCGGTCTATTGTGGGTTTAGTAACGTGGAGGAAGCGCTACGTGATCGTATCGTCATGGGGATGCTCCCGGGCCGTTGGCGAGAAAAGCTATTCGGTCAGGATTTAGCCTAATTAACGTTGGCAAAGCCTTTCGAGTTAGCGGAGTCGTTAAGAAGTGCTCGATTGGGGGCCAGGGCAGCCACCACGCATCTCGCGAGGCAGCCAAAACACCTGTTCAAACTTAAACAACTAACTTCGAAAAAAGCGGTATCGGTAGAAAAATGTTCAGTGTGCAGTCGGTCAAGTCATGCGTCCTCTAAGTGTCTGTTCGCGAGTTATACGTGTAGAAAGTGTAACGTGCAAGGTCACCTTCAAAGAGTATGAAAAAAAAATTAGGTCGATCTATGACGGTAACGACGGTAAGATATTAAAAATATCATGTTTAAACCATTGAGTGTTTAAACGGTGAACCCATGTTTGAAACGGTGACAATTTTGGGGGTACAATTAAAATTTGAAATTGATAGCGGTTCCGCGGTAAGTCATATCGAGTGCTATGTATAACGATTATTTTCAAAAATACCATTATCACGTACTAATAAAAGGAAAAGAAAAAGAGAAGGAAAACTTGACACAAACCCGTCTGGCCAGCGTGGCATAGTAGGCCAAAACCTCCTTTCTAAGGAGAGGCTTATATCCAGAAGTAGACTATAAAAGGTTGTTGATAAATATATATAATAAAAAATTATTAACATACGTTGGAAGCAAAATATGGGTCAAATAAAGGAGCTGTACGTAGTAAGTTGTACGTAATACATGGCGGTGGCCCGCCATTATTAGGCAGAGACTTTAATCGGGTTTTAAATTGGAATTGGTACCTTGCAAGTTCCTTAATAATGCGATCAATTTGCTAGAACATTTCCAAACTAAATTCCCAGATATTTTCTCATACAAATTAGGAAAGTTTAATAAATATAAAGTAAAATTGCAGCTCAAGGCCGATTCACAGCCAGTATTTTTCAAAGCGCGCCCTATCGCCTTTGCGATGAAAGATAAAATAGACAAGGAGCTAGATCACTTAGTTGAGTTAGGGATATTAAAACCACAGGGCCATGTCGTGCGGTGTTCCGCAGGGGTCTGTCCTAGGACCACTCCTGTGAAACATTGGATACGACTGGGCCCTACGAGGGCGTCTCCCCCTCGGGCTGGGTGTACTCTGCTACGCAGATGACACTTTAGTCACGGCCCGGGGGGCTAACTTCCAGGAGGCAGCGCGCCTGGCCGCCACGGGAGTTTCCCTGGTGGTCGGGCATCTAAAATTCACGGTTCTTTTAACAAATATTAAGACATCAAAGCGTGTGTGTATCAAAATTCAAAAGACGCGGACTCCAACGCATGTTTTTGCTGACGCGCGTTAACGCATATCACCAAAACGCGCCTTTAAGCTTAAATTATTTTACAAATAGACGAAGCGTGAAAGTACTTCTAAAAATGGCCTTAGGGACTGAGACGCGTAGCTAAATTTATAAACATCTTTTTATTTCCAGCTTTAACTCATTATTGTAGTTGTTCGGTTGCTCCTTCCATCCTTATTATATTAACTCAACAAAATGTACTTACTTTGCACAGCGACATTTCTTTCCACTTGTAACTCTGACACTCTGCCAGGTACACCTAGTACGACAGTCCATCGTCCCTGAACAGCTCTAGTAGTTCGATCTAGTGTTAAACGACAGTGACCAGGTACCAAAGAGCTCACAGAAAATGGTTGAGTGACCAAACAATAAGAATTCTGAAGAGTTGTCAGATCTACTTGAACGTGGGTTTTACCGTCTTGTAAAGCAATCGCATCTGATGGTGCGTATGGTGTGTCCTCTGAAATAATAAAAGCAAATTTTTGCTCAACTATATTCTAACACAATCATGGAAAGTCTTCTTAGTAATTGAATCAGAGAAATTGAAACAAAGAAATTAAAAATTGAAACAGAACCAGGTAGAAGCTTATAACATTCAATCATTATGCTTCAATCGCCTTAATGTCGACCTAGTCATATTCAATTAAATATTTAATTCAACAGTGTACAATATTTTTTCCTCAAATGCGCGACAAAAACTCGCTTAATGCAACTAAACTTGCACATCAAATTACCCAGGGCGTACAAACGTAATTACATATAACAAAATAACTATTTTTGCAACCCGTCTGGGCAGCGTGGTTTAAGCGGTCACCACGCCGCTTCCTACAACGCTGAGTGTTGTGGGTCCGATCCCCACATGGGACGACACTTTGTGTGATCCACAAATTGTTGTTCGGAGTCTGGATGTTCTTTGTGTCCGTTTCATACATGTTTGTAAAGTCCTCCGCTACTCATATATTCCTAATGTTGTCAGTTGTAAAATTAAGGTTTAAGGCGACCCCGTCAGAAACGAGCTTCTTTCAGAAAAGTAGGATAGGTTAGAATTGGGACACCACAAGAAAACGAATCGATATTAGAAACGAGCTGTATCCAAATAGAAGGTTAGGTTATGAAAAGTTCCGCTTTTCAAATAATAGCGATGCGTCACGAACTCAAATTGTTGCTTAAATGATAATATTTTAAGGTTATTATTTTGCTGTGTAATCAGAAGTGTAATTTTTTATAAAAAGGAAGATCTTTTTGATTTGCAGTTAAATACTAGGCACCCATTAAAACCTACACTTTCTCCTTCACAGTTGAAAAATTAAAAATATTATTATTATGCTATATAATTTTGTAAATACTTTAGTGACCATGAATCTTCAGAATCCATATACCTATTTATCAGTATCGGAAATTGCGAACTCCATCGATTTTGAGGTTATATTGAAGTTCCCGAAATTTATAGACCCGGAATTGATGGTTTGCGAATTAGACACGTTTTAATTCAGTAAAACATTATTTACAGGTAGGCTTAAAAGAAAAGCCCTTTAACAAAATATACCTAAGTTTCTCCAAATAAAGCGAGTATTGTGGTAAGACAAATTGTGGAATAAAAAATATGTGTAATTATGGGAAGATAATAAAATAAACTTTAAGAATAACGTACCCACTACAGTCACTTCTGACCATCCCGTAATCGACTCATTGCCTTTAGAAGCAATAAATCGCCACCTACCACGGTCCGAGGCAGTCACATTGTTTATCTTGAGTCCACAACCATTGCTCCAAGACTGATATCTAAGAAATATAAACAATAATTTTCCAGGTCTTCAGTTTATACAGATACTGCTAACGCATGCAGTGCGATTTAAAGGAATAGTTTTACTTTAATAATTTAAATTCATTTGGCTAAAGGTAAATAGGAATAGCAATTTAAAAAAATGTTTTAATGAAATTACACGTGAACAATGCGTAAATTCTCATAATATATATTAGAAATGTTCAAGGCGTGTTTCACATAGGAACACACAGCCTATTAGCCACACTTACATAAGGCTATAATGTGAACCAGTGGTGAGTGCGTCACCTAATGTTAAGCAAGGGAACTATCGCCAATATCGGACTTCACAAGCAAAGGCATAGTTAAGGAAAATAGGAATATGGTTGTCATATTATTATTTCAAGGAACCATATACTATACTTTTTAAGAAATTAACCTCAGATCGGTAATGCAGCACCAGTTTTCAAAGATAAAAAAATTAATATTATTAATCTAAATTAGTTAGTTTTAGTATTAGTTCTGTACAATAAATTTCTGGTCTATTCAGACTGCATTCTCACTATACTGATGAATATTTTCCTCTTTCAACTCATTAACTCACGTACATTGACTACATAAAAAGTGGTCATAAAGATGATAATTACCTCGCTACACACAAAATGCTTAAAGAACAATGGCGGGTCTCTTTACAAAAAACTTTTTGGAATCAAATTGCAGTCTTGTAGTGAAAAATATTAAAAAAACGTTTTTTTTTTAGAATCTATGTGTAAAACAATTTTTGTTTGGGAAAGGCTAGAAAAAGAGATATTAGCATTTGATTTTTTTAGTTACGCACTGCATTTTGACTCTTAAAAAAGTCCACAGATAAAAGAGTTTTATTTATAACATATCTGCATAATGTTTCCTTTACTTAATCAATTTACCTATGGCTATCGTCGTTTCAAATTGGTTTTTGTATTGTTTTACATAATTGTATTGTATAACTGTATGTGTGCCATTTATACGCCGCCTGTCGCGTCAGACGTTTAGTCTTATTTAAACACAGAGCGCAAACGTCTGTCAAGAGTTGTCAAAAAACCTTTACTTTTTTTCACAAATTATTATTTTTTACTTCATTATATTCCTACTACAGGATTTTCAAATACGTAAATAATGCGTTTAATAATGCACCACAAACTTCATTCTTTATTGATTCAGTACTAACAATTATAAAACTATTATCTGATTACCATATCACTATTAAGTGATTACCATTTTACGACACTTTATTGAATAGTATTTCCACTACCTACTTGAAAAAACTAAATTAATATTATTAGAGGAAATTAAAATAATCAAATAAGCTTATAATACTTTTCTTTCTTTTCTTGGGGTTTCACTGACTTAGACGATAGTTTCAAAAAACGGAGATAGTTCCCTATGAATGACATTTTAAGACGCTCAAATTATACTCTACGAATTCGCCATTGTTCTTTTTAAACAGTTTATCATTCGCCTCAAATTTCTTAAGAATTAGTGGATTGCGCTATGTAAACTTAATAGTATAAAAATCACTTCTAAGAGATGGTTATACAGAACGTTATTAAGTACCTATTGCTCGGCGGGTTGCGAACATTGAAATGGAGTCCAGTAGGGGTGAACACTTTACACTCTTTCATATTATCCAATGTGCTAGTCAGCCGCAACATCGCCACATGTCCTTTTACTACATTAAGATGCTGCGGCCATCCTATGCCTTGTTGCATCCTCAAAAGATTATCAATACGGACAACGTACACAGGTACCTGAGCATGACTTTCACGAGAACTAATGTATACTGAAAAATTAATATTGATCATATTACATTGGAAAAATAATATAAATCATCATCATCTTCATTATCTATTATAACTTTTATAAGATGTGAAAAGTTTTGTGTGTCGTACGAGTATAAGCAGAGAGAGACCCATGTCATAAAAACCTTACGTTTATTGCTAGTAGTTTTCATTTTCTTAATTAAAGGATTTCATTATTTCAAACCTCATTAAAACTCCTGACTTAATATGTTAGTAACTTTTTTATTTAAAAAAATGCTTTTAATTTAAGTTAGTGCTTTAAGTTACTGAAAGTTGTCCTAGTTGTGAATAAAACGATAATTGTTAAAGTGCTATTGCTAATCCCCGAAAATAGTATACAAAAATTAAATTATTAAGAAGTAGTAGATAATACGGAAATAGGTAAAGATAGATAGGTAATGATGTATAAGCAATCTGGACGTGCTGTCTAGATATGTCTAGAATGCTGCATATAGATTTCTATTAGCTGTGCTTTCTGTACGTAGTCGTATCATATCAGTTTGTACCCAATACGCTTTTATAGCTAAGGACATAACATTAAAAATGATAAAAAATAGATTATTTCAATGTATTTTTTATTTCCCTAAAATCGCGGTATTGATACATCAAGTGGAACTAATCTCAAAGAGATTTATTTCTTGTTTAATTATTTTAGAAAAATCTGTTTCTTTATATGTTTCTGAAGTTAATGTTTCCATGCTGTTTTCTATTTCGTTCTTTCGTTTCGTCGCTTTTCTTTTAATGATAAAAATTGGAGGACATATAAAAAAATACTTACGGTTCCTCTAACTATTTGTGCCCCTGCATATATGTGTAACAAATTGAAAAGCATGCTTGGATATGAGACGTTGGATTAATTGTTATTTCTTAGATTTTATTTTATATTGTAGATTTTTTACTGGTGTACCGAAAATAGTACTAGGAGTTTGTAATAAAAACTAGGTGTTTGTTTATTTTATTTGAAATTTATAATATTAACAAAATAAACATTTAAGCAAGAATTCCACTCTTTCATTTAAAATAAAAAGAAAATTACATGCAAAAAAATATTTTTACAACACTGTGTATTAAAGTAGGTTTTGGTCTCAAAATAAAAATTGTACCAACCTGCCAAAACAGTCCATGTAACAAAATATAAACAACGCATTCTGATTTGACTAGATATAGACACTCTCCTTCGCTAGCTGTTTAAGGACTGCTGAAATACATTTATGATGAATAAGAAATATTGTATACCAGCTAATGCCCGCGACTTCGTCTGTGTAAACTAAGTTGTTCGGGCAGCCTGTTTTCTCAAAGCTATCAACAATCTTCGCAATCCCGCATTTCCGCTACGGATAAAAAAACCTATGGCTACAGGAAATGTGAGAGCCACCCATGGGAACTCCACTATATACACCTGTAACTTTCACTGCCTCAGCTTGGTTTATTGAAATCTACTTTGGAGAATCCATATTGTACCAAAGCTTTTATCCTCTTTACAAAAAAATCGTTAAGTTGGTTCAGCTGTTTAGGCGTGAAATCATAAGACAAACAGACAAAAAGATTTACCTTACATTTAAAATATTAAGTATTGATTAGATTCATTGATTAATTTCTGATGACGCAATGATTAACACAAAGATATTTACAAATGAGAAAATTGGAAGTTTGCCTTTGAGATGTCCCTGCTACATGTTTGATTAAGTTCATTTTTTATCAAGCCCTCTTCATCACCTACCGATAAAATCCGGTTTTTTTATTTTATCGAAAGGTTTGCTTTATTTTTATTTACTGCTATGATTTATCAGTCATACATGTATCTATGTAGGCATAATTGATCATGAACATTGATGAAGCAGAATACGTAGGCAACAGATATGAAATCGCGAATATGATTCCCCCGCGACAGACAACCTCTTCCGACAAGGAGCGAATGCGTTCGATCGCGTCCAGCGTTGAGCATCTCTGTCGGAAGCCAAATTGGTTGGAGGCCCAATCGCGACAGTTGCGTTGATACCGGCGGCGATTACTCTTTCAAAGAGTTTCGCTATCTCGTCCAGCAAGCATATCGGTCGGAACGCCGAAGGAGAATGTGCAGACCTGCCAGGTGGCTTCCGGAAATTCCAGAAACCTTCCTACGAGCCTGGCTTCCTGCCAGCCGAAAGGGAATACGCTATTACGGAGGCAGCTGGTAAACAGCCGCCTCAACCTATTCGCTAAGACCGCCAAAGTTATAGTTATATCTAAACATATGTGAAGGTTGTAAGTAATATATTACTAAATCTATTATCTATACTAATATTATAAAGCTGAAGAGTTTGTTTGTTTGTTTGAACGCGCTAATCTCAGGAACTACTAGTCCGATTTGAAAAATTCTGTGTTAGATAGCCCATTTATCGAGGAAGGCTATAGGCTATATATCATCACGCTAAGACCAATACGAGCGGAGCACCAATGAAGAATGTTTCAAAAACGGAGAAAATTTATTACTATTGAGAGACGCAGACGAAGTTGCGCGGGTCAGCTAGTCTATTATAAACTTTATCAACCCTGCAAGTAGTGCAAAGAACATTTTTTGAAAGACAAAAGTACCAAACTATTTCAAAATAACAACAGTTAAACAGAAAAAGGTCATTAAAACTGCCGTCATCGGATGCAATCTCTGGTAATTTTATTTTGCAAAACTATTGTAAATATGTAAGGTAATTACGTTTAAACCGGAACTTCTTGGAAAGTTAATTCTTCTCCAAACAGCAATAAACTAAGAAGCAACTGGAATGTTACTAGAACCTTTAATGAAAATAGAAGAAGTAAAAAAAAGAACCTAAGAAGGATTTGATCTTTCTTAGGTCCTTTTTTTATTACACCGGCATTCTTGACAAGGCTGCTAGAGAAGAAGAAAATGAAGCTGCAAAATGCAGTTATTTTTAAGTTAAGTATTCAGAAAGTAGCATAGGCGTAAACCGAATTTACTTAGGGGTGGGGCAAAGGAAGAAACTACATAATTTTTTTAGCAAAACCTGTTTAAAATTTCGTTTGTATTATTGAATGCTTCCTACTCCACTCTTCCCCCTACAAGTCGGTATTCTGTCATTCTCGGGAGGACGACTTCCACTTGGATCCAATTCGCCGCCGGCGAACTGGGCGCGCTGTATGTGGCCGCGGATGGACAAGGACGAGTTTTCACCTCTATCCGTTATAATAGGCAGCCGCGAGGAGGCGACGACGTCCGTTTGTGCCGAACCTCACCTAAAATAGAGAATTCACAAGAAGGTGGTTCCCGCGCTACTGCGGGCAGGCGCTTATTTTAGGTGCAAAGAGATTCCGACACACCACGCCGCCGCAAACCCCGGTGAGATGACGGCCCGAGGGGGGTTCCAAACGTAAAAAAAAAAACGAAAAAAAAAGTGTTGCAATGTAAGCACACAAAAACATGTTTTTGCAACAAATCTTTTAAATTCTCAGATTTCTTCTACTATAATATGCATGTATTATACATAAACTTGGTAGAAAACTTTTTTGTAGATACTCAGGGTCGCAGCTAGCTGTTACAGCGGCCTGCGTGCAATGCCGATACGCCGCTTGCCGCCACCGGCCGGTGAGGGGTATCTGAAGGCGCTCCAGAACTCGCGTCGCGTCGCCACCTGTCATCCCTAAGCCTGCGCCTATGGGGCACGGAGATCATTCAGCGACCTCCGGTGCTTTAGCCGCCAACAGTACCTGGTCCGTTCAAGGGCCTGGTGAGTCGGGAGAGGGTTGTGACCCCTCCCGGTCCCGCTTCGCTCTCACTACAGAAGTTATACGCGCGCTCGCTCGGTACCACGGCTGCAATCAGTCATGAGGTCATACCGCTGCTCTACACATACCGAACATTTTACCATATGAAGCGTCGTGTCCACGCTCTGGCCATCGCAGTCTGGCACCCAGGCACACAGTAGTCAATGGAACCAGTGGCGTAATAGTGCGATTAGCTTACTTCCACTGTTTGCCTGATGGCATGTGGTGACTGTTCGAGCCTGCCTGATCACTTTTTGAACTTCTTTTTTCAAGCCAGGATATATTATTGGAACTCTGTTACCTAAAAATGACTGTAAGTTTACGGAAAAAACGTAAGAATATGTAATTTAATAAAAAAAGTAATTATTTTTCACAAGATAATTTATTTATATTATTATAAATTTTTTAAACAAACTAAACGTTAAAAATAAACACATTTAAGGTTAATATTCTCATACACTATTTTGGTTACTTATTACATTTTTTTCTTGTTGTTTATAGAGGTTGACAGTTTAATTTGTTCATTTTTTAAACCGACTTCAAAAACAAAAGAGTAGGTTATCAATTCGTCTGTTTTTTTTATGTTTGTTACGCGATATCTCCGTCAATTATGAACCGATTTTAAAAATTATTTTGTAATATAAAAGGTATGTTGATGAGGTGATCCCATTACCACCAAATCAGGATCTCATGATGGGATCCTAGAGAAATCGAAGGAAACCCTCAAACCCCTTACAGCCCCGACAACGTCTTTTAACTTAGTTCTCTAGTTTTATAGGTATATGCGTTTAGTAGTCGTTAGATCGTGTTGCTAAGCTGATGATGGAAGGATCCTTGACCTTTAGGAGTTAGACAATAACTATTGCAAAAATCTAAACATGTCTTGACCTTGTTTTATTTTTTCAATATATTTGTTAGATGTATGTGTTGGGTTACAGAGATATGTGCACAAATAGTAATATATGGGATACTATATATTACGCTACGTGGTGTTTTAATCGTACTTATCTACTTATATGTTTATAACATATCTTACACAAAATGGTCTAATAAACCAGATAGAACCTTGAAACAGACTAGAAGGGGCTATTATAATGTTACCTCAATATAACTGAGGGTACCTACTTATTATAGTTTTTGTACTTAGATTTGTCATTTTATTTTTTATTTTTAGTGCTCTTTGTCAGTATTTTTGGAAGTCGGTTCAACTTTTTTTTCAATGGTTTATTTCAAGGAAAAGAAGATTGAAACTTAACCTCTATACTACAATCATTAACTCACTTATTACTATTACAGCCAACGCATCCCCTAAATTTCCCAAAGAAAAAGGTATTTCTATTTAAATATCATATTTATTTTTATTTATACGAGTGACCAAGATTGTTTATAATACAACTATGAAGACGTTGACGCATGGAAGCCACTGAACACCATACATATTCTACAAGGTTTTGATCAGGGGATAGCGATGGCTATGGAATAATCTTAACATTCGAATATTGACCAAACCATTCACTAATAATACCAGCACCGTGTATAGCACAGTTATCTTTAATGAAATAAGTTCACTAAATTCTTCCACGGGATAAACAGGTAGCACACGCCACAGTACGTAGCTTTATGTCGTTCAAAACACTTGACGTAATTGAAGTCTAGTTGGTTTGGAACCATTTGTTTTCACATTCACCAACCATTAAGCGTCGCTGAGACTAGAGTAGCCATAAATATCCAGTCTAAGGAGAGGCATATGTTCAGCAGTGACTTTTATAGGCTGTTGATGATGATGATGATGATGAGACTGGTTAACAAGTGGCGACTGGTTAATAATCTGTTCACTAAACGTCTCACAGCTTTTTTCTAAAAAATAATAATTCTTATTAGACATTTTGACCCAATACTTAAGAGATTATGAAATAAAATCATACACCACGATTGTCATTACACAATCCATCAAAACAACTTACACTTAAACGGGTTTCATATAATATTTCAGATATTAAGCCCACGTAAAGCTAAAACGTTAGCCTTGCTTCAATACTAATATTTGCTTGCAATTTGAATACAGATATTCAATACAAACATCAGTAGGTAGCAATTAATAACACAAATGCTCGTAACTTAGTTCACTAACCGAAGTCAAAAGTTGAGGGTGTTTTTGAAACAATCATTAGTTTATTTCAAATCTACCCGCAACTTTTAGTGACTAAGTACTAGTTTTAAATATTGAATCAAAGATTTATATTCTTTGACGTTCGTTGCAATACTGCACTCATAACCACATTCCGTTAATTCTCAAAAAATACTGTAAGGTTGCATGAGTTTTGAAACGGCGGCATTTGCATTAGAGCGTCAGACGGACAGTTATTGATTGCGTTGAAATTAGTTACTATAATCATACGCAAATGCCGTGTATACGTGTGCTTGAAATACGATAATTGAAGAAAGTAGTTATAATACTATAACTTTGTAAGACTTATGACCGCGACCGTACAGCGATTACGGTATAAGTGGGATGCTATATCTCAATTGTTGTAAAGTTACCGTATTATAAAATACCTTGAAAAGCACCCCACGCTTTTTACGATAAAATGATTTTTCTTTTTGAAATAATAGAAAATTATTTCCTACTTTTTAGGTTGGATAGCTACAAAACTGGTGCTTTTTTTGTACTTTTAAACATTTTTTTCTCTTTCTTAGACATTAATGATGATTATTATGTTATTAAACCTAAAAAAGTAACAAGTAAGTTTATCACGTATACTTCAGCACACGCCTTAGTCCGTCGCAAAAGACCACCGTATTTTTAGGTACCTTAAAAGCAGTTAATCATGAGTCCTAATGAGAATAATGGGACAAACTATTTAAATTCAATCAGTCAAAATTTAAAATCATCGCTGAGCATCTCAGAGGTACGTTTTTGTTGGAATAACCGCCCATATATGTGGTAATTAAAGATATTTTATTATCACATTCCAACGTTATAACCAGGAACCGGATGTGGTATCTATCAGGAAATAGCCACCAGCCACAAGATGGTAACTGAAAATGTTAGATATATTCTTATAAGTAGAGGTAAATTTCAAATAAATCATAAAAAAAAAACTTACGAACACATCACAACTAGCATTTATTACATGTATTAACTTATGACATTAAATCTCCTTCATCACCAGTTCCTACTAGTGTGTTTAGGTTCTTTTTTAATTTCATTTTAACTTAATTTAACTTATCACAATACATATTGGAAGAGATCAATTTTAAGAATTTAGCGGACTTTTGAAAATCAATTTGTGCATTGTCTTTTGTCTGAGAGGCAATTTAGGGATAACATCATCCGCTTCTTTCATCATCGCTGTGGGTATCTAGAAAATGGATTTTAAAGTGTTAATTATTTTACTTTTATTACAAAACATAAAACTTTCTATTGAAATGATTTAGGTATTATATGGCAACATTGCAAAATTATAATTGAGAACATGAACCTATAACTTGAGGACTCTGTTTTGAAGGACAAAAATAATTACAAATCAAGAGAGGATTGCATATGACAATGAGTTAATAGAGGCTCAGATTAAATGATGTCTCAGTTTGTTCAGTTAACCTTGGCTATTAATTTTTTTGTTCCTCAAAACTAATATAAGTAATACCCAAAAAAATTATACCCAAAAATACCGTCGGTAATTCAAATGCATCATTGCTAAAACTACATATTACTATATAGTAATATCCATAGTCCATCTAAAGGTTGCCTGGAAGAGATCGCAGACTGCGATAAGGCCGCCCATTGTATCACTGTTTTTTTGTATGTATCATCGCATGTATCCTAATTTTGGTGTGCAATAAGGAGTACCTATCTATCTAGCTAAAAACCTGCGTATTAAATGTTGTGTTGATGAATACTAACATTTATTTCTTTTGCTTCTGCTTCTTTTACTGTGTACTCTCTCAACACATAGTCTGTTTGGAGCATGTGGAACAATCTTGTTTCATTAGACCTCACCAACACATCATCCACTCTTAAAAAGTACCTTAGAAGCACATACCAATATGAAGGCATCACTCTCTGAAATGAAAAAAATATTGTTTAGTAAAACTGAAAAAACTACCTTTAACAGTGAACCTAATTTAAAAGTAATCGTTATACTTTTTTATAATTCCAAGATGCGAAATGTGGTATTGCCAAGTTTTCATGCCAATGGGTTGCTTAATTGACTCTTAAAATATAATATCATAGTTGGTTAGTTCAGAGTAAAGATAATAAAAGTTTGTTAATTAAAATTGTTTAGGATCATGTAAGCATACATGATGTTGTATAGGTGCAAAATCCTAGCGACCGCCTCCACGAGCGAGAGAATCGTGATGAATCTTCTCTTCTATCGTCGGGTAATCTCCAAGAACGAGCGATTATTCCACCAACGTATCATCGCGACTCGTTAATCGACATCGTTTTTTTTTATAGAGTTCATGACACGAAAACAAAATAAGTAGTGTCATAATACGAATACATGTATATAACAAACTACAAGTACTATGGCAACTGCATCGCAAAGTTTCAATGTGAAACACTGTTTATTGTTTAAAACTAGTCAGTACGAAATATTCTTGCTCGGCAGATGGGCAACACAGAAATGACACTGGCAGACGTATGCGTTTGACAGCGCGCTCGCTGGGCTTTCGCTGCGAGGGCGCCACGTTCTGCAGCGAGGGCGCGGCGAGCGTGCCGCCAATCGAGACATGCGCGCGGCGACACGTTATAAGAGAGTAGAAATACGTGGCACGATGATAATATCTCTCGCTCTCGACGCGATTCTCTCCCTTGTGGAGATGGCCCTTTAAGTTAGAAATTAAAATAACGTATTTTAAATTAAAATTGTTAATTAATAATAACTTACAATTTTAACTGAAAGTTTAGACACACCATGATCATGTAATTCATCTTCAAACAATGTCAAGTCATGATAGAAAATGATTTGCTCCCTTTTTTTTAATAACTCCAAGTCTATTGCTTCATCTGTTGTTTCTACAACAATATTATTTGTGAGAGTACCTTTATAATTTGTAGAAAATGTCCAATCAAATGGGCGCTTTGGTTTCTCTGCACTTGGTCTAAAATAGAAAACAATTTCTTACACCTAGAGTAAAGAGGGCTGAAAATATGCTGTGTTCTCCTTGTCACTCAAATCCACTTAAAACGAAAACTCTTCTCTAATTATCACAAAACAATTGCTACATATATTATTACACAGAAAAGCAATGTTAATTCTGTTAAATATTTATTTACCTAAAAGTTGTGGTTTAATAAATATAAGGCAATTTTATTACACAGAATGCCATCACGGAATTTTCAAATTAAGCTAGTTATTAGTTATCTAAAGGAAATTAAAAAAGCTAACTACAATTATTTTAATAGTAAAATGCCTGCACTCAGCTATATAACAAAAAATAAAAATAATGTCAATGCGCAAACAGTGATAGCCATTAGAGACATGACAGCCGGTAAATAAAACTGTTGCGATTTTAGAAAAATCATCAAAAATCAGATTGATTAGTGAATAAAATGAAAAGTTACAGCTAGTGTACTGTAAAACTAATATCATACAGAAATGAATTTAAAAAAAAAAAACTACTAACCTTTATCATCACTACTATAGTTTACACAATTGTAGTGTTGAATGATTTATAAATTATCAACTAATTACTGTACTATTCCTATAACTGGCAATAAATACCATTTCGAATTATTGAGTTCAAAATCAAAATTATTAAATCTAAATATTTTTGTACTTATTAAGAGCTAACAAAAATTACAATTAATTAGATTTATTTATTTTATTAATTCGTTTTTACAACATTTTAGTGAACTAATTTAAGGTTTTGCATAGCAGTTTTCAGTATTTATTACTCCAATAAAATTAAACCTAATATGGTTGACCGTAGATAATCCGACCCCTGTCTTTGAACTTTGAAGGAAAACTTTCTAATCCAACAAGTATTTAATAGTAATTATCACTACAATTAATGCCATGCAATGTGACAAAGATACTTGAATATATTTTTAAATCCCATACTTATTCATTATGTTTTAAATCACTTAGTCAATTATTTTATACATATTACATGTTTAGAGTATTATTAGATTTTTTTTTCTATTTTTATAAGCACTTTTTTTTATTATAGAGTTTACCTTTTCAAACAGTTCCAATCTACAAGGAGGCACTTTGAGTAGTCATTAGTCCAAATATCCAACATGGCATTGCAAAACAATTTGCTATCACAGAGCTACTGAACAAAACTCTATCTAGAGAAGTAATATTTAAAGTAAATACTTTAAGAGATTTATAAGAGAAATTGACAGTATTTAACATGTCATATAGTAATAAAATACACATTTTTTCTAGAGAATCATTGAAAACCAACATAATAACTAGAAGTGACAGAGATATGCAGCCACTATCTTGTAACTGCTTATTTAAATTTACAATCTGGTCAGATAGTAAGCAAATGTCCATCAGATCAGATCATGTTCTTTGCTAAATTTTTTGTACATTATAATGAAACAACATGTCACAAATGTTAACACCCAGTATAGGCCATTAACAATATTAGATCTACAACTGGATTGGCCTAATCTAGATAGAAGATATCTAGTATCTGGCCAAACAGCTATGCATTTTATAGTACATATAGTACTTATAACCTTTGATAACAATTACCTGGCCTCTTGCCAAGCCTCAGCACATGAGACTTCAATCGCATCTGCAGTACTAGCAACACATCTTAAGGCATCCAAAGCATTAAATGATATGGCAGCACCGTTTTTATGTTCCAATTTTAAAATGTTTTTTGGAAAGACCATATCAGGAAAATGTGGTATTTTCAATTCCTTACAGTATCTGCAAAAAAACAAATGTGTAAAAATTATTCTTCTTTCAGAACTAAGGACTTCATAGTTTCAAACATAAACAAAAACTGGCCAAGTGCAAGTCAGACTCACGCATGAAGGGTTCCATACCATTATCTATAAAAATGGCAAAAAAAAAAGGTCTGTTGTGTGGGAGCCCCTCCTAAATATTTATTTTATTCTGCTTTTAGTATGTGTTGTAATAGCATTGTTGTGAAATACATCATCTGTGAAAACTTCAACTGTCTAACTATCACGGTTCATGAGATACAGCCTGGTGACAGATAGACAGACAGACAGACAGACAGATAGACGTACGGACGGACAGCGGAGTCTTAGCAATAGGGTCCCGTTTTACCCTTTTGGGTACGGAACCCTGAAAAAGATAACAGTTTTAGAACAAGGCTGTTGTAACACTTAGTATTTCTGGACACGTATATTTACACAAGTATGGTTTAAACATATACGATGTACTTACATACAGAACTGACAAAACTGGTCATCATCGCGTTCACAAACGATCTTTGTAGAACACACGCTAGGCAATATACAGCTTATATCGAACGATATATGCCATGGTCCAAATTCAATCGATTTAGAATTACTTGTGTACCTGCCGGCGTCTACTGCATGAACCTGTAATTATTGCAAATAACCTTACAGTTAATATAACCGGGTAAATCATTCACCATAAATTTTATATATATATATATATATATTGTATTGTACCTCAGCACCAAGCATAGTAGTTGAGTAAATTATAATTAATAAAACGTATGTATTATATTATATGTAATAAAATAAGTTCTATTGTATGACAAACTTGACAACAGTGATATATTTCAGATTATGCTTGACATTCTTGACAAAGACAAATTCTGCAATACCTAGACTAAAATAAAATCAATAATTTGAGTAGAGGTAAAAATAAATTATCTACTACTCGCATATTTCCACAGAGTATTAGGTAGTGTTTCCATAACAAGTTATACTACACTATCTAAACGTTTTTTTAAGACAAAACAGTATCTATACAATTAATATATTTAGTAATTACAAACATTTCGTGTTGACAACACATTTACGACGTTATAAACGACAATGTGCAACTGAAAGCCAAAACATCACAAGTAGAAAACACCTTGAAGGAGACGGAAGAGAGGATTGCTGAAATCTCCAAACAATTATTGGTCAGGTAACAACAATGTAGGATGAACAATCTTGAGATAATTGCTATTCCGCAAATAAAGTCGGAAAATTTCATTACTATATTGTACAATTTCTATTGTACAATTACTTCTTTGTCACCAGTTTTTGTTGATCATATACACAGAGTTAGACGTTTCTCATCGCAACAAAAATCAACAGAGAACCAGCACCAGATACCTAATATTGTTATAAGATTTACCCACCGTCAAAAAAAAGGATTTGCTTTCAGCGGGGAAGGCTAGACGCGGCCTAACAACTGCTGATATAAACCTGAATGGCGCAGCAAGACCTATTTATCTGAACGAACATCTGGCTCCGCATAATAAAGCGCTGAACAGCAAGACGCGCAAATTAAGCTCGGAACGCGGCTTTACATATATATATGGGTAAAAGATTGTAAAATATTCCTAAGAAAGAATGACTCGTCTAAGCCCATACTGATCGAAACTGAAGAGGATCTTGCCAATATAAAGTGACGGTGCCTACTGTATATAATTGCATTTGTAGTTTCCAGGTTGCTTGATGCACCATGCATGGTCGGTTTATATTATTATTACTATATTACCAGTTGTGTCACTTGTGTTTACATAATATGTCTCATTCTGTAACTCTGTTGCAATCTCAACTTAATTTCTTAATTCATAATACTCTCAATATATTATTATGTAACTCTACAATTAAGTTGTATTGTTATAATGGCACCATAACATAAAACTTTTAATTTGTGTTGAAGGATTAGTATCAATAGTTATTCACATACTTTCAATAATTAATGTATTCGTGTAAGAAATTAATAGTAATCTTGTTTGTATCTTACATGCCCAGGTATGTATCATCATCGTGTATCACTCGAGGACAGTGGTGTATATGTTCATGCGTGTTACATTAAACGGATTCGGCACTCGTTGTCTATCACCCTATGTAGGTATATTTATTGTGTAATTTTGTTGGAATGACTGTTTGTGACAAAATAAATGACAAAGAAACCGTGATTCACTTGATACTGCTGGTGTTCCATCCATACAATAGCCTGGTACGATGTAAATGGTATATAAATGTTAAAGCTGCATTTTATTTTAAATAAATGTATAGTAAGAAAAAACAGTAAAGAAGGATAGCTTATGAAAGCAAACAATAAATATTGCACTATCAAACACCGCATGTTACATATGCTATTACATAGCGCCCCGACCACGCCAACAGCCGGTCTGACCTCACCCTTGGATGTTTCACATTTTTATTTTTCTAATAGCTCCTATCGGAATTTGTTCATTCATATTCTAATTTGCTAAATAACAGGTAGTACAACACTATTTTAACAGACATTTGTGGTTGCGGGGCGCGGGTGAGCGTAATTTCGAATCAATATGGCCGACTTTCACCGGTTGGTTTGTCTGTTTTGATATATAAGTGAAAAATAATCGTTCTGTATTACATAAAACTGCCGTGAGTTCTTGGAATATAATTTTGGTGTTTATTAGAATTTGTAATTAAATATGGAAGCACTTATACCAGTTATTAATAAGTTACAAGATGTTTTCAACACAGTTGGAGCCGATGCCATCCAATTACCTCAAATCATAGTTTTAGGAACTCAGGTAAAGGTTTCTTTAAAATTTTGTTTAAAAGAATAAAAGTCATCCTAGATGATCCTTTATAAACGTGTGGTGAATTCTCTAAATATTAAATTTAAAAGTAATGGTTATGTAAAGTGTCAGTTCAGTTCTTTGTCCCCATTTTTATTCAAGTGGCCTAGGGTCTATGACCAAGACCGTAAAAGCGCCTAATACGTACGTAGAAGAGTACCGAAGTGCATTTTAGTTCAAAGTCATTGTCAATGTAGCAGCAATAATGATTTGATACATGAATTGATAATAAAAGGCATACATTTCTATGTTTGCAGATATCTATCAAACTAATTAACTGATTTTCGTTCGTGTTTCTTTAAATGTAGTTACATGGATGTATTGACTGACTATATTTAAGGTTTTGTTTTCTTTATAGAGCTCTGGTAAGAGTTCTGTCATAGAAAGCCTAGTGGGGCGTTCATTCCTGCCTCGGGGACCAGGGATTGTGACACGACGTCCTTTGGTTCTGCAATTGGTCTACAGTCCCAAGGAAAGCAAAGAGCACCGCTCAGCTGAAGAAGGTATGTTTACATTTATAAATATTTTTAGATTTAATTGTACATGTGTAATTATAAGATTGAAGTTAAATGAGTCTTTCTTATTTGAAATTTGAGTAGGAATATTGTTTGATGATAGGGTATTAATAAGATAACCTACGTAAGTTTTGAGCTACTGGAAGCAGTACTGCAAAACAGAAAACTAGTTTCACAAATTAGGGCTCTTGGTTAAGTACAGACAAGCTTTACTTAAATAGAACCCTTTACTTAATAATGCTGTGGACTATTAGTATAGAACATCTAAACATAACATCGCATAGGTTATTACATATGCACATGGTAGCTAAGTGTAGGTAGAAAAATCTGTAACCACTTCCTATCAGACAGCCTGTCATTGTGTTAAAACTCAGTTAAATACAATGAATATTATGATCTACACTGCCTATATATTGGAAGCTTATGTAAGTGTCTTTTGTATTATATACTTTTTATTATTTTCCTTGTATCTGGAAGTTGATCGTTTTTATTGCATATGCAACAATTTGCAGTTAAAAGTTAATAAACTTAATATTCTAATATAATTTTGACAGAAAGTAACAAGAATAAAAAGTAAACGTAGAATATCTGTTTATGTCCCTATTTGCATAACAATTTAAGCCACAGTTAACACACACACAATTTAAGCACAGTTAACAAATATGTGAGCAATTATCAATATGCATACAAATACAAACTCAGCATTTCTGTTTCTGTCTTCAGAGTAGGCAGAGATAAATAGTCGACCACTGGTTTTAATTTACTTTTTTATCTACACCACCATCTTTCTCTACTGTCTTGAAGCCATTTATGACCTGTGCATCATGTAACTTTTTACATTACACACAGGGTTGGCACAATACACACATGGCACATTGTGGTGACTTTACACAGACAACAGTCTGTTGTTGCTGTTGCTTATTACTAACAGTCATTGCTTTTAGCCTTAAAGCTATTGAGGTTGTACTTTAAGCTATTTAAGCATCTGCTTGTTTTGCAGTTAAAATAGGTAATCATCATCATCAGCAGCCTTTAATAGTCCACTGCTGGACATAGGCCTCTCCTTAGAAAGGAGGGTTTGGCCAACTATACCACGCTGGCCAGACGGATTGGTATAGGGTTTTTTCCAAGTTTTCCTTCTCTTTGCAGTGCTGTTTTCCTGAGTAGTTTGTAATAGGTAAACCTTTTGAGGTCTATTTGAAATTATCAATGTGGATGTTCTTAAATTAAATTTCATCATAATATATTATTTTGTCATGATGGTAGAATAATGTAGTGTTGAAAAACTATGAAATTCAGTTTCTACCATATTTGTACTACATTGTCTAAATATTATTACTACATTCAAGAAAAAAAATATTTATTTTATATTTTAAATTATTCAGTGTTAGCCTATCAGGCACTCAAAGTAAAATGAAGCATGTGATTTTTCTAGAAAATTGTAAAATTATTAGTTGTTATTATAATTGCATTTTAAAACAAACCCTATTTTTCATTGTATGCCAATTTTCATAATTACAGATTTAGAATCAAAAAAACAATGTAAAAAAATAACATAATTATTTGAAAAGGCTGCCCTGTAAAGTTCAATAAATGTCAGATCCGACACTATTCTATGACTATGACAATTTCACTTATACCATACACATTGAATATGTTAAATCTATTTTTAAGTGTAATATTTGATAACCTTATTAGTATGTGTATGTATTTATATTAAAATCCCTTATTAGCTCTAAGAAACCTGAGCACAAAGACATCATGGAATCCCATTGCTCATCTTTCCCAAAAAATCGCTACAGGTTTGTATTAGTAGTACAATATTGTATTCTGTTTTTGAATGTCATTTGCAGATCCAGTTGTGTCTAACTAAAATAGGGACTAACCATTGCATTTTTAATGAGGTCTATTTCTTCATTATGTTTAATATTATGAATTGATGTGTAAATTTAAAGAAGGATTCAGAAGCTTGCAAACAGTAAGGAAAATAGCTTTTTACAGTACAATCACATGTTGGTTGGCTCCTTTTTACTTCTTTTTATTTCATGTTACATGTTTTCTTCAAAATCTCATCAATAGTTTGTTTATGTTTGATGTATACAGGATTAAAGGATTTGTTAGTCTTTTGAGCCTTTAAAAGTTAATATTAATTACAACAATATTTTTTTAAATCATTTTTATAGTTTTACTAAAGGTTAAGTAATCAGAAAGCTAAATAAAAAAAGAGTCTTTCCTTTCAAGAGTGTAAAAAGATGGAGCACTATAAAAAGGACAAAATTGGATGTTGGCACACCACATGTTATAGTTTTAAAGTTCTACAACTAGAGGGTGGTATTGACCAAGCCAGTCAATCAATTTTACTGCACCGCACTGGTGGTAATTAATGGTCGACGGTTTTGTTCACATATACCTTTATCTCGTCTTTATCATTTAATTTTAATTTCCTAGCTAAAAGTAATTAATCAAAATTTTTGTGTCAAGTTTACAGCATGATGTAGTAGGTCACTATCTTTATGAACTTGCCCATAAAGATTTACATTTGTTTAAAAATTGCATGTTGGAAGTGCAATAAGTGTGTGAAAACTTTATACATTGGAATAATTTTAGATTACTTAAATCCATTGAATGTTTAAGGCCAGATTATTTTCTAAAGTATTTTTTTATGTTTTGTTAAAATATTATTAGTTTCTAACAATTATGAACAAAAATTGTTACCTCCACTGTATTTGAGTACAAAAACCTTTGTTTTTGCTAGATCTCTATTTTCAGCACATGGAGTGCTAAAAGCAATTGGTTTTAAAAACCACACTTCACATTATTATAAAACATTTTAATAAATTCGATTGTATGATAAAACTTATTTTTTTATTGTTCTAGGAACTGTAAATTTAGAAGAATGGGGCAAATTCCTCCACACCAAAGACAAAATCTACTCAGATTTCGATGCTATCAGACAAGAAATAGAGCGAGAAACCGACCGCATGGCAGGTAGCAATAAAGGAATCTGCCCTGAACCCATAAGCCTCAAAATATTTTCAACAAGAGTTGTAAATCTCACTTTGGTAGATCTTCCTGGTATTACAAAGGTACGATTTCATATTTTTTTTGCATTCAGAAAAGATTGTTGATGGTTCTGAATGATTAATGTCGCGTCTTTCAATGCCCATTAACCGATTCGTGGCCATGTAAAAATATTTAGTGAGGACAGTGACCACCAAAAAATATAAAATACAAGTCTTGGGTTCTCAACCATTTTTACAGCCTACTGTTTATTTTACATTAAATAAGTGAATGGTGCTTTTCACTGTAACTACATTATGACCGTACTTTGCATACAGTATGGATTTTTAACCAACTTCAAGAAGGAGGGGGACTTCTCAAATCTGTCCTTGTTGTCAAATGTTTTGCACATAATGTGTTTTGGCGGAACATTTAAGACTCGGTCATTTAAAAATTCCTTATTTTGTGGCATTGGCATTTTATTTATTTAAATTTTCTTTTTGAAGTGTTGATGATTTGAGATTCTGTGATTGTTTTTAGACAAGTACAGGATCTTCAATTTTTTTTCAATGTAACTTTTTGTAATATTTACTGACTACATTCAGGCAAACTTTTATTTTCTTTACTGACAATGTTTATCTATGTTAGTAACAAGTGTTTGGCTACATTCAGGCAAGTTGTCATTATGTTCTTGTTAATTATCTGCAGTAAAAGAAGTATTAACAGTTGAATTTAAAATAAATTAAGATTTATGAGATCTTTTATAAAAAAAAACTGATTATTGCACTTACAGAAATTACCCTATCTTCAACAAAATAGGTACAGTTGAGTATACTCGCATTAATTGATTATCTAATGTGGTGTTAACTGTTAACCAAATGTTTTTTTTTGTCAACCTCTTGTCTCAATATTTATAATAAACGTTTTCGAGTTATTCTAATTGGAATTTAAAACAGAACTTTCAAAATTTATGTTCGTTTCTTCTATGAAAACTAGGTACCGATAGGCGATCAACCCGAAGATATTGAAAATCAAATTAGGAATCTTATAATCAAGTACATCGGCAACCCAAATTCCATAATATTAGCTGTGACTGCTGCCAACACAGATATGGCCACAAGTGAAGCTATTAAAATGTCCAAAGAAGTGGATCCAGACGGCAGAAGAACTCTCGCAGTAGTCACAAAACTTGATCTCATGGACGCGGGTAAGACTTATTTTTTATGTGAAAATTTTCACAGGGTAAGATATTTCTTTTATGTGTTTACTGGACCTTTATGAGACATTGTATACCCCTCGTATACGTGCGTATACCACTCGCCGTTTTTTATACATATTCTACTTATAAATACACGTGGCGTCATTCGACGTGTAAAATTGCGCGTTTTTCTTTGAAGCAAAATATTAAATTAACCTAAATTACTTATTCAATAATCAATAAAGAATTGGTAACTGTAAACCTTGTTATGATAAAGTGACATGAAGTACAGAGTTACACAAACATGTTTCTTATTACTACTGACTGCAGATGCTAAAATAGTAATTTATTTCAGGAACTGATGCCATAGATATCCTCTGTGGTCGCGTCATTCCAGTAAAACTTGGCATAATCGGAGTCGTAAACAGATCACAGCAAGATATTATTGATAACAAGGCTATAGGGGTAATTATCTGTCATTAGCCAGTACCTTGCGCTAAAATTTCTTAGATTATGTGTGATGTTATGATAAGTTAAAATTATTTGATAAATTCTTACGACATAACATTCAAAACTTATTGTTTTGTAAATTACATTTCTTATATATGGATTCTTCACGTTTGTTTTAAAAAACAAATATTAATGTCTGTCGTTTAATATTAAACCTATATATATATATATATATATATATTAGTACATACAAACAATACGATATAATAGCAAAAAAGTCAGCGAAAGCCATTTATTGCTGTTAGAATTTAATATTAAATGCATTTTATCGCATAGCAGAAATAAAAACAAAAATACTTAAGGCGTACTACTTTAAACTGTTGAAGATCTTATTTATACATTTGTAATCGTTTGCTTTATCGATTATCGGGTAGAAATGTGTATAAGGATTATCTTTTCTATTCTTCTCGTGTTTTTATACGCTGTTATAGAAAATGTTGTTGTTCATTGATTTTATTGGACAGGATGCACTCAAAGATGAGGCCACGTATCTCCAACGGAAGTATCCTACGATCGCTACACGTAACGGTACTCCGTACTTGGCCAAAACCTTGAACAGGCTGCTCATGCACCATATAAGGGACTGTCTTCCGGAACTAAAGGTAAACAACGAGACCCTACATATTTTACTGTAGTAGAAATATGTAGATGTATGTTGTTTTTTTTTTGCATATATTTACTTTATCCAATATGAGGTACATGCCTGCTGCTTATAAAACAGGTTATACCTAGTATTAGTAGCAGGGCTCAGAATATAATACTTAGAACAAAGTTGTTTTACAAAGTACCAAAACAAATGTTCAAAAATTATAACAAATAAGATCTGTTGTGTTTACTTTATGCAATTAAAAAAACATATTATTAAATTATTAAATATTCAAAAAAGGTGATTTACATTGCTGTAAAAACTTTAAGTCATAGAGACTGCACGGATAACGTAGTGGTTTAAGCGATCGCCTCGCCTCTTACTGCTACGCTGAGTGTTGGTCCAATCCCCACATGAGGCGACACTTTGTGTGATCCACAAATTGTTGTTCTGAATCTGGGTGTTCTTTGTGTCATGTATGTTTGTGGGGTCCATCGCGACACAATATATTCCTAATGCGGAAGTTGTCTTTTCAAAAAAGAAAAGAAATAAAAAACCTTTATGTACTGCTGTTGTATTATTATCCGAACCGTGGGTAAAAATGATTCCTACAATATCGTCGAGTCGATAGTGTGTCGATACATATACAAGATTTTCCAAACGAAACTATTTTATTGAAGATGAGTTAAAATGGATTGTTAAGCATTTACAAAGATCAGTGTAAAGTAGCCGCTAATATCTAAAATGCTAAATAATTAATTTAAATTAGGTTGCCCATTCTAACATTAATATAGCAAACATATAATTCTTTTGATGAATTGCGATAACCGTTCGTCATGGACGCTTGCTCTTGCTATAACTGTAAAACATTAAGCTTTTTAAAACAAAATGGACACTTTTAACAGCGAATTAGGAATATCTTCGAAATTAAAATAATTGAACAAATCTATTTGGATGGAAGCTAACTTTGAAACTTATTTGTGATAGGTTCGAGTCAACGTCATGATCTCTCAGTTTCAATCTCTGCTCAACTCTTATGGTGAAGATGTGTCGGACAAGTCTCAGACATTACTACAGATTATAACGAAATTCGCAAGCGCATACTGTTCCACTATTGAGGGAACTGCCAGAAACATTGAGACTACAGAATTATGTGGAGGCGCCAGAATATGTTACATATTTCATGAGACTTTCGGTCGCACCTTGGATTCTATACATCCTCTTGTTGGTAAGTCACGATTTTTGTTTTAGTTGTGTCTTTGTTAATGATAAATTAATGTAGATGTCAAAAAAAATCATCAAAAAAAGGCTTTTTCCCCATTTTCGGATGTGTTGAGTTCAAGCAGCAAATACAACTTATTCACGCAGTAGTATTAAATCAAAATTGAAACAACACAGGTGAATCAACATTTGCACACTACTTAAATAAAAATATAATGCATAGCAATGATTTTTGCACTCATTTATTAGTTTAGTGTTTAATCATCTTCGCTCCCGTTCGACCGTGACCGTGACAATGACAGAGGTGGTTTTGATTTTGAAAAGTCATTAACTGATTATAGATAATGGTCCAAGTCTGTGTGTGTAACGTCGTGGTATATTTGTAAAGATTAAATGTACAAATCTGAAACATCAATTTTATTCTTATGGAATGTACTTTCTGTAAAAATAACAATAACTTCATAAAGAATATTGCAAAATTGATTTCGTCTAGTTTAGGAGCTCGTGGCTAAGTGGTAACTGAGTAGGTTAACATATTGCTAAGTTAAACAATCCTAGCCAGGTCAGTCTGTGAATGGGTGACCATTCTTAACAAATTGAGACCTTTCGTGCTTCAGAGAGCACGAGAGGATTATGTTATTATAAAATGTAATGTTGCTATAAATGCCATCAGGTTTGACGCGCATGGATATTTTGACTGCAATACGAAACGCGACGGGTCCAAGACCAGCCTTGTTTGTTCCTGAAGTGTCGTTTGAACTACTAGTTAAGCGCCAAATCAGAAGATTGGAAGATCCGTCATTACGTTGTGTTGAATTGGTAAATGTGTTTTAGATATACCTATCCCATGTCTCCACTACTAGTACAACACTTGACGCCATAATGGAATCAGTTAATCGTTGACAGCCATTGCTCCAAGTTTGAATTAAATATTAATATTCGTTGACAGTCCAAAGCGATGGTTAGTTGAGCGTAGATAGTAAAGCGACGGAAATTAAGTACATTGTAATTCATAACATCGCCGCAAAAGCACGCCTAGTAAGCGATCTGCCAATGCGTATGAAAGTAATGTTGGCAGATTATTGTTATGACCTGCCATAATGTGTGCTAGCCTTAAAAGGACAATCTAAACGTTATAAGCTAATCAGAATAATTACTAGCATTAAGGTCACTTAAAATACATGACATTAAACTCACTTAATATGCTGTAACTTTATCCTTAAATGCCTAATGCTGTAATCAGGTACATGAAGAAATGCAGCGTATAGTGCAGCACTGTGGTACAGAGGTGCAGCAAGAAATGTTGCGGTTCCCGCGCCTGCACCAGCGGATCGTTGACGTAGTCACACAACTGCTACGGACACGTCTGCCTGCAACCAACTCTATGGTGAGTACATCGTACAGAATTGCAGTATGGAGCGGCAGGAGTTACTGACCTAGTTGCGCGGTTGTTGTAGGCACTTTATTTTAATGGACACACTTGCCTGCAACCAATTATATGGTGACTATAAATTCCAAGAAAAAGGTAACTACAGTAACTTGTGTATATAAGAATAAATGGCTTAATGTTATCGATAAATGGAAACTTCATACTAGAATCAGAACAATAAACACAATGGAATGTCCCTCTAATGGAATTCAAATCGATTTTTAACCGACTTCAAATAGGAGGAAGTTATCAATTCGAATGTTTATATATATTTTTAATGTTTGTTCGAGCATAACTCCGTCATATATGAACGCATTTTCGAAATTATTTTTTTATTCAAAAGGGGTTTACCCCGAAATGGTCCCATTAAAATTTTATATAGATGATGAGTTTCGGAGACAGACAACTGAACTCTATGACAGCAAATCAACCGCGATTGCTGCTAGGATTTTAGTTTTGATAGTATTGTTAGAAGTCGGTTCAACTTTTTTTTAAAAAGAATTCATTCTTGTTTTCTATCTATATTTTTGTAGTTTGTGACGTCTATTAGGAGACAAATGAATAAAAATCAAATAATCTATTATTATCTAAATCGTCGTAGATGATTTAGATAATAATATATTATATAAAAGTTGAAATTATATGTTTGGTTTTTCTATTTAATGGTTGATATAAATATTGTAAAAAAAATACTGTATAAATGTATGAGTCAACTGTTGGCGATGCGCGCTGCGAGTTTCTCGTGTCAGTGGCCGCAGCACTATTCCGTGGTGGCCGCATTGCACCTGTCCTTGCTATTAGACCGTTTTCGTTTTGTAAATAACTTTAAAGCATTTATTCAATATTGTTTTTTTTTTTATACAGACACGATATGACTATATATTTCTATGTATCCCTATAAGTCTATATACTCGAAAGACCTCTTTTTTTTTTTGGTTTGTTGACGGGGTGGAAAATCCTTTCGCATCTCCTGCTCCTCGGGGACTTAGGAGCCAGGAGTATTTTGTGATTCCACTAAAAAACACCCCGACGGCCGACCTCGGGTGCCCTACTTTGGGAGGACCTGGACCATGTTATTTCATTTTCTCCCCGAATTGACAAATTGCCTAATCAGGCCCCGTCCCGGGGGAAAGCAAGGCCTTGGCTAATAATATTAAGCACAGGTGATTTGAGGTACCTGCTTTATATCTGCAACAAATTAACTAATAAACTTATTACACCAGCACAAGATCTTACACTATTTGCGCACTACAGACACGCATACATACTCATACTATAAGTAATATCATACATAAATACATACCCGCAAAACATTTGTTGTCTATTTCTCTTTTTCTTTTTGTTTTATAATGTATTTCGTATTCATGTATTGGCATCCTTATGATTTTTTTAATCTTCTCTGAACTTTAAATGTGATTTGCATTAATAAAGTACCTAATGACAGCAAAGAAATGTTTATGAAGGGTGAGTGCCTGGTGATCTGAGCTACAGGCTCATGCCTAATTCAGACACCAGTCCTCTTACAATTGCTGTTTCTAACGTTAATTATTCATGTAAGTTAATATTATATTCATGTTCATGATAAACACTAAAATTGACTTTCGTAGTCGACAAATATCTTTATTTCATAAAAAAAAATATCAAACTATTTGAAATCGTCTAAACACACAATAGCAAAAATCTGTTTTGTCAAATATTTGGCAAAAGGAAGTTAATCCATTCTATGTCTGTGTCCATCTACAACGAGAAGAAAGGGCAAACAAACTCACAGCAAATTTATAGAGGATAAACTGTTTTACTGCAGACAAAGGTCGCCCGTCGGGTACGAACCTAGTTGGGCATACCCAAAATGCTTGAAAACTCGTCGTCTTCTGTAAATATGAAAACCACTCACGAAAGTTATTATTCCATTAAAATTCGTAGTAAAAACTAGTGCTAAAAACTTTGGGACACAATAAAATATACCTATGTACTGCTCGTCTTAGAGGTTATTGTGGTTTAATCAAATTATTTAACAGATACTCTAAAAACTATTATTAATTTAATTTAAACTAATGTAATGAATTTGTAGGTGGAGAATATAGTGGCGATCGAGTTGGCGTACATAAACACAAAGCATCCCGACTTCCACCGTGAGGCTGCCCTAGTGTCCGGACTGTTGAAGAGCACCGACGGGATTATAGAAGACCACAGTCCGGTGTACAGACAGAAGACGCCGAGACCTACATCTTCACCGGTATCAACTATGTTAAAAGTATATATGCTTATAGTTTATTTTTCAGGCTGTAGTGACTAATGATGACTAACTAAGTTGAGGTAAGTTCATCAGTGTTAGTGCACACATTGCTTGATAAGTAATAACTACCACATGTTCTCATTTTTTTATCATTTCGTTTCCATTTGCAGAATCCAATAATGTTTTTATAGTAAACGTGTTTAACTTAATCGATTGATTCTACTTGGCCTTAGAACTTGGAGGTGCAAGGAGAATTTCTTATTCGAAATTAAGTGTGTATATTTTGCATATTAATTTAATATAGGTGATGAATCAGTTTTACCGTTTTGATTTCGTTGTTATATACGACATCTACCTAATAATATAAACTGTCCACATCCAACGTCGACTTCGTGCATATTTTTTCTAATATTTAACTAACTTTTTGTAAGAAATTGGAGAACATGATTTTATTGATTTTCTTCTAATCTTTTGTGATATAACATTGTCAATTATTTTGTAGCTTTTTCTTCGCCAAATGGGTGAAAGAGGGTCCACCCTATTATTCTTGGCAAGTGTTGTGGATGCGTACAACAAGGTAAAATTTAAATGTGCCTAATGTTGTGTGGGCTAGTGCTGTATTTACTACAGTTTCCATGTTAGCCACATTCTAATAAATTATGTGATGGTCATGTCGTTCGAGCTTTGAATACTGTGGGCTCTCTTTTTAACTTTTGCTGACTAACACTTCCATTAGAAAACATTCTCGCCATTAATAATCCTAATTAAATCTTAAGCTAAACGTATAAATAAAAAATTTGAAGATCAACTAAACTTGGAACTAAGGACCTGTTGTGACGTCGCAGTTACGTCCCTTATATGTTATGAAAGTGTTTGCATATTTAATCCAGTTAGCATACTTTGATCGCAAAAATTGCTGATTTGATGAATGGTATATCCTAAACGTGCACATTTTCAAAACGACTTTTTTATTTATACTTATAGCTTAAAGTTCAAACACGGTGATCTTGTAAGTTTGTATTTTTATACAACTAAGGTAATCATTTATCAAAGGAGCTTTATCAACGAATTTAAATTTATAATTTACTAGGTTTTTCATCATTTTTAAACATTTTCTTTCATAGGTCTGGTATTGGTATCTACAGATATTACTAAAAAAGCTTGTTTGGTTTCTTTTAGTGTAATTACATTCAAATTTCACGTCTTTTATTACTATCAGGGTAATCAAAACTTATTCGTGGCATATCTATGAAGTATTGCCGCATGCTTTTATAATTGTCAGTAACAATTAAAATAAAGTTACTACTGATTTAAAATTATTATAGTTCTAGAAGTCTTTTCCTTTTGTGGACTTCATTTGGATTGTACTCAAGCAATGAAAACATTAATGGTTTCTTGTAAAAAAAAAAACAAATGTAGTCACAATACCTCTTTGTATTACAAGACTAACGAGTTATCGGTTTCAAAACAAACTGTCGTTCTTGTACTAGAAATAGCTGCGTGAGAAATGTAACTACTACAACGAATGTAAATGTGTAAGAGTATAAATTAATAGCATTAATTTCACCGCATTTACGGATATTTCTTGTCATCAGGCACATTGCGACAATTCTATCTGCCATTGTACGTTTTGAATTATATTAATGATAACAATAGATTTGATAATGATTTCAGCAATGATAATTTTTTATCCATTATTTTTCTCTACGCATTTTATAGTCTATTCCCAGCTTTCTTTTACACAATTAAAAAGTAATATTCTTTACACCACTAAAACCCTATCTAAATAGAGTAACAAAAATAGAGTTCAAAACTTTTGGTATATGATATTGTGTATCAGTTTCAAAAATATATATTACTATCCTTACATATTATAAAATGAAGTCCCCCGGCCGCGTCTGTCTGACTGTATGAATGCGATAAGCTGAAAAACTACCGAACGGATTTTTGTACGGTTTTCACCAATAGATAGTGTGATTCTTGGGGAAGGCCAATGTGTATAATTTATTAGGTTTTATGTAAATTCACTGAAATATACGGATTACTGTTTAAGAGGTGGCAAAAAACTTGCCTACTGGGCGCTTTACTCGCGTACGCCGCGTAAACCAACAGAGATACGTTAAAGTGATTAATGTAATGTAAAAATAACGTAAATTGAGAATATCCTACGTTGATGCAACTCACTTTTTAATATTAACCAAAAATATCACGGTTACCGAAATCAACGAGGGCGGAAGCAAGTTACTTTATATTTTCGAATGCTTCTGAAAGAGCTACTTAAGAAATAGCAATTTTAAAATTACGCGTCCTTCGCGCGACTTCGATGACACACAACAAAACTTTTTTATACTTATACTGCCTCATACTGCCTCCAGGAGGAGCTCTTGTGTTTTAGGGCTAATATAATGCATGGTCTAAAAAATGAAAATAGAAGATATACTTAAAAAATCTGCATAAAAATTCTTTTACCCATTCTGCTAACTTAAAAAGAGATTATTACGTTTACCTCAGGAGAAATATGACTTTTTACGTATGCCTGAGCCTTTGTATAAGGGTTCCGTTTGGTTCCACTTCGACTTCTTGAGTAACTTATTATAATCTTCTGATTTTTCTTTTATCCTTTCAGTCGTTTTTTTTTAAATTGGTCAAACACTGCTGAAGCTCCATTGAAATGTTTTCTTTCAGCATGTCCCTGCAATAACAGACGGGCAAGACAAATCACCTCCTCAATCAGCTAAAAGTGAATCTCCAAATACACCTCAGGTACCAGATTAGCTCGTGTATTGCATGGATTATACTATATATCTGTAGTACTCATTAATTTGCGCTGCACATTTCTTATAATCGACTTTAAGGAATGAGGCTCTTTCGATTTGCGGCTTATAAATAGATCCTTATTGTATTCTGTAGTTTATTGCAGTAGACTTGATAGAGGCTATATTTAAAAAAATGTTCTGTTTAAGTTATGAAAACATATTGCAGCTTAAAAAATAACACTGTTTCTCCACACGTTTTAGATGAATGGAACACCAGAGAACTTAAAAGTGCTAACTCCCCAGAAGCCAGTAAACCTACTGCCCGAAGTGCCGAGCCAACACTCGCGCAAACTGTCCGATCGCGAACAACACGACTGTGATGTAATCGGTGAGTTTAATTTCTACTAATTACACATTATCATAATATTTTTATTAAAACTTTCAGTACATCATCTATTGATTTCGAAACTAACTCATAACTTGGGATATGAAAGAAGCTTTCTGTATTTTTAACCATATTAACTCTACGTCCTTATTCATTTTAATAAAATAAATTCGTTCAAAACACGATTGGTTCGTAAATTATTCTTTTGAAATTTAAATGTGTGGAATGACTATTTAAGCACATCCAAATTAGACGAGAGTAAATTTCTTTCACAAAATTCATGAAGTGATGAGGTTTTTGTTGTACACCCTGTGTCTTGGTTTTGTTTAATCGTTCAGTAACTGCACTGTTCGTGAGTGATTTAACAAAATCTTCTTATGATGCTAGGTGGACGGAGCGATGAATCACCATTCCTAATGTCTAACACAAAGACTGTAGACGGCATCAACGTGATGCAATTGAATCAAATGGGTGACTTAGTCGGTGAGGATAGAAAACGCGATCTACCGAATGCTTTTTACTCATTTGCTCACTTTTATATTTCCGGCCACCTACCATCGAACTATTGCTTGCTTTGACATTTACTTTGAAATGAAATTATTGACTAACCCATTATCAATTTATGTATAATATACTTATTACAAGATCCTAGTCGCAAATCGGCTAAAAAAATATGTTTATAAAAATATGTGCTGGCAATATATGTAAATACTTACCTTTTGAAATGTTTTTTTTAATTTATAATAATCTGGAGACTAACTTTCGTTTCTGAATTTGATAAAATAGAAAAATGCCATTTTCTATTTCTTCACCCATATACGATAAGTTTATAATATACAATTGTAGCTGTGTAATCTTAATAGTCAACGTCAGTACAGTCAGTATTATTATTTATTTAGACATGTCGTAGTTTCATCAAAATAAGGGAATGATGCACCAACACAACAACTTATTCCACTTAAGCAATATTTTTACATTATAAGTCAAGCGTGAAGGCCATAGTCCACTTTAACTGGAGCTTCAGAACCACTGTTTCTACATAGCTTTCAACACCTACTAATAGTAAATTAACATAACATACTTAGAAATAAGTGTATAATAATTTGTAATTTTTGAATTTGCAAAATAAATGATTTCAAAATTTATCGCATGCTCATTGGTTAGGGGGTTGGTTTTCGTATAATAACATAGCTTTATATAATTTCGAATCTTTTCATTATCGACTAACACATCACAATTCACATATCATATTCATGTTTTCCGTTTAGTTGCTATAGTGCACATTTACGTATATAGGTAATTGGTTTCTGAATGGAATTAGTATCTTCAAAAGGACAAGCCCAGCCAACCTTGCGGCGTATGTTGCCAGTACTCGCAAGTTCACCAACAAAATAAATTCTCACGTCGTGGTTGATTGATCTTTTGTTTTAAGGTTTCCTTTCAGGAACCAGTAACTGTGCTACTTGTTTGACCTATATGTTTATTTCAGAACGACTGATCAAGTCGTACTTCTACATAGTACGCAAATCCATCCAGGACTCAGTACCGAAGGCTGTCATGCATTTCCTTGTGAATTATGTGAAAGATAATCTGCAGTCCGAGCTCGTAACTCACTTGTACAAGTCTGACCAAGCGGAGAGTATGTTGAACGAGTCAGAACACATCGCCCAAAGAAGGAAGGAAGCTGGCGATATGCTTAAGGTAATATTTGTTGAAAGTCATCGTTTTTGCAGAATTCTTAAACGAAGTACATGCATATAATATCAACTAATATCTACGCAATTGCTTTAAAGTAACAAAATATGATAAGTATATTACTTATCATGAACCAGCTATCTACATAATTCAGTAGGATATAATAAAAGTAGTATAACGGGTTACTTTGGCTATTCAAATTCCCTGCAGGTCAAAGCTCTACATTATTTTTTCCATTTTATACATGAAACCAATATTTATGATAAATAAATAAAATCATTCCATCATCATCATTTTCATTGCCCCCTACTTTATTTGGCTTACGCGTAATGTTCAAATTACAAGAGTTTTTTGCAATTCTAGGCATTGCAACGTGCTGGGCAGATCATCAGTGAAATCCGAGAGACGCATATGTGGTGATGGTCATCAGAAGATGAAGACTCTAGTCTGAATTAGTAAATTTGAGCATGTGCTCTGTACATACTCCTCTTACTAGGTAGGTAAATTATGTGCATTAGGCTTTTATACTTACATTAATATCCATACATTTGCTTTTAACATGAATTCTGCAGCTCTCTGTGCTGTTTATTTGATATATATTTATGACATTATGTCGACAACCAAAAATTGGAGTCAAAGCAGAAAGTGTAGAAGCAAATGCATGTTAGTCATAGTTGAACACTTTTTAAGAATAGCACTGCATGCTGATATAACTACATACGGTTATTTAGTATTCAGTCAGTTTGCGAGTTTATATTAGTATGAAGTACTTATTGTTAACATTTTACAATTGAAAAGAAAATTTTATTTGTCATACAAAACAGGGTTTTATTTTATTAATTATGCATGAAATTGTTCACACCATTGTCTAAAATAAAATGTAAACCAGTTTGCTACTTCTACTGCTCAGGATAACTTGGGGTGTTTATATAAAGCTTATGAAACGTTTTTAATAAACTCGTTTCCTTTGCAGTACTCCATTTTTATGATACTCAAATAATATATTTGTGATTATATGTTTTTCCAAACAAAAATAAGTACACGGGCATAATTATAAAAAGCAATATATTTATTTTGACCTTGTTGAAAAACTTGTGTGCCAATAAACATAAAGAAAAGTATGTTGGTGTCAGGAATCAATGCAGTATAGATTCGTTATTTTTTTAAATTGTGCACAAACATGGAGTCAGTTACCATTTCATTACTGTTAGTGTATGCACATACATAAGGTAGAATTAATATTAACGCATATTCATGTTTACATTGTAGTTATTAACGCAGTGATATTACTTGTAATGTCTGCTATAATTAGATGTTTCCATAAAGGTTGGCTGTCCTTACTTAGTTTTAGTTACATGTGTATTAAATATATTTCCTTGTAATGATGGATGGTGCATTTGTCAAAAAAAAAGAGTTGGTTACATGTGTATTTTGTTTAGTCCCTTTTAATGGGAGTTGGTTGGTTAGTTTATCATAGTCAGTTGTGACCAAGTATAATTTTTTTTCAATGATTACTCTAAGATAATTTAGGGCAATAAACTGCTTTTACAGTATATTTTAAACATAGTTCCTCACTTATTAGTTATAATTTTGCATGTTGTGTTATCTATCAAATTTCATTCACGATATCAAGTCATTTTGTGTCATGTCATTCGACGGTAATGTAATTTATTTGTTTTTTTATCATGAATTAGAATAGCGAGTATTCCAATGTTACGTGATGTATTTATTGTTGAAGTCCAAGTGATTTCCTTTATGTATATGTATCAAACGAAACCAATTGATTGTTACAGATATAAGATTGTATTTAAAAGTCTGTTAATTATTAAAAAGATAAACTGTCACAGTCAAAATGTCTTTTATTTACACACCTTTTTCTTTTTTTTTTTCCGTGCGGAAATCCCCTCGGATACCACCTGTCGGTGGCATGTCGGACTCGAACCGACTAAAACCGCACGCCGTCTCGGGTACTAATAGCCGGGGAACCAGGTATACCCTAGAAAGGAACTCCCTGGTGCCCCGACATACCTCGGGTCATCTACAGACGAGTAGACGACCCCCCCCCGTGTGGGAACCCCATGTTCCCTGTGCTCCCTGGAAGCGAGCGCGCTTCGCAACGCGCTCGCCGCCACCCCGGCCTGCTTCTGCTAGGGTGACAGATGGCCTCACCTGTCACCCCCAGGCCTGCGCTTATGGAGGACGGAGGTCGTTCTGCGACCTCCGGCGCCTGAGTCGCCTGCGGTACCTTACCCGTTCCCGGGCCTGGCGGGCCGAGAGAGTCCTAAACCTCTCCCGGTCCCGCTCCGCCGTCTCCTTCGCGAGCATAACTTGCTCGCAGAAGGAGACGGCAGAGTTCCACGCACTCTCGCTCCGCACGATAGCCGCAATCAGGCTATCGAGCGAGAGAACTCCCACTCCGATGGCCGCCACGAGGTCTCGCCTCTGCTCAACCCACGCCGGGCACTCTGCCAGCGTGTGGAGAGCCGTGTCCACGGTCTGGCCATCGCAGTGGTGGCACTCAGGCGTTGGCTCCTTGCGGATCAGACAGGTGATCCCCGAAACATCCCTTCCCAGTGATCACCTGCGTCAATCGGTATGAGAGGGTCCCGTGACGCCTCTCGAGCCAATCCTCCATAACGGGTCTTACCGCCGCGATGACGGCGTGCCCGTTTATTTACACACCTAGCTTACAGAAACTTTAGTTACCTATTTTGTAGTATTTTTCTCCTGTGCATTTACCATGGATCACGGATTTGTTGTTAGTGGTAGTTTTTTTATGGTATACTAGCAAGCTTATATTGAATAACGGCCTGTGATTTGATACTACTACTTTGCGTTATTTAATTTTTACTTACTTAAAAAGTAGAACAATGATATGATACTAAAATATTAGTCATTATTTAATAACTAAATTACTATATTAGTTATTATGTATACCAACAACTCTTGTAACTTTCAATTTTTTTTTATGGAAGATTCCATCAGGTGACCCGTCTGCTTGGTTGCCCCAACCGAGCAGACTGGTCGGGCAGAACGCCTGTAACTCAGGAGTCACAAGCGCTTTGCCGGACGAATAAAAAGCCAACAAATGGCGTTTTATTTTCAAATAAGAACTTGTATTAATTAATATTAGCCAATTTTTAGAGCTTGTCGACCCTCAAAATCAGTTTTAGTTTGTCGACCCCTGGGAAACCGATTTCGATCCCAAGGGGTTGATATCGACCAGTTTGGGAATCTCTAGTGTAGACAGTATTTAAGATTTATCTCTCTGTAAATAGATTAAACGCATCTCTAATGAAAGATAACAGCAATAACAAACGGCATCACCATGGGACATAACCTGCTACAGCGATAATCTTGCGCGGTGCGAACCATAATTCTCACTCCATTTCTATGGTGATTTTCGTTGTTTCCAGAATAGTAAATATGTTATAGCGTGATTACCAGAAGGCCAATTCTCTGGCCAGGCCATCTTGTGTCGCTGAAGCCTAGGATATCTAGTGTAAGAACCGTCGTTAACAGTAGATTTATAACAGTACAACAACCATTGCTTTGACTAGATAAGTATGTAAGTTAAGCGAATATGTTTTTTTTTGTCTAGTACATATATTCTCGTCTTTTTGTTTCTAATTTTATTTTTAATTTTTATTGCTCGTATTTTTGTGGAATTCGCCGACTACACCCATTCTTATTCAATTTGTGAACTCAAAAATTTCCTCCAATTTTTTTTCTGTTTTGTATGAGACCATCGCCGCCCATGAACGTCTGAAACACTCAGGAGTCACTAACGCGTTGCCGGCTTTATATTATGTATTATATTATATATTACCTTGAATAAAAATGTCGAGACAATGTTGCTGCCCGTAGCGTGCAAACTGTCCCGCGTGGATTTTCGCCCCGTGGCCATACCGTAAAAAAGTGCCAAGTTGAGAAAAACTTTGGTTCGCTTTTACTTTAACCAATTAGTTTATGACGTGTAATCTTCCAATTAACTATCTCTCTGAGTTGAAATTGTATTTCTTAGCACCGAAATGATAAGTTCGCATGTCACCTAACTTAGTCGTATTCGTCATAGTTTGCGCACTGTATGCCATCTGCCTAATGAACAATGATGCGCAGTCCTATCAACTTTACGTACCATGTATTCGTGCGCAAATACTTATCAAACACATAACTTTAGTCATTACAAATACATATCTATAGTCCTGAGCAAATAGTACGGTGTATTTATCCGCTATCTGAACCAAAATTATCCTTGTCTTAGTTATGTAGATAATTACCCTATGGTCCGACAGCAGTCTTGTCCTCTATAACGTGACTGGAACTAAAAGTATAGTCGGCAAAATATCTCTATCTATATAATAAAGACGTAAGTGTATTGCCCAAAATCAATCTAAGTGGCGTGCAATGGGAGAGGCCTGTGTCCAGCAGTGGACTGCGATAGGCTGATGATGAAGTGTATTGTATCCGAGTATGTACCTAATGAATATGATGTATGTAGAAGGGTACAGGCAAAGAATAGTTCATGTCCTAGTGTACCAATTGCGAGAAAAACGCAATTTAAAGTTTACAAGTTATTTTTTTATTGAGATCAAAGTAGACGGTTTCTTCTGCTTACAATCTTTTAATATATTTTAACTGCAAATTAGACTTTTTTTAATTAAAAACAAATAAAATAAACATTGTGGGCATCTTTTAACAACTTAAAAACAAGGAATGTCCAAGGCATTACAAACGTGTGCGTTACCCCAGCAAAATAATGTCGAAAATGGTCATTTAAACTTTATAGATAATTAGTTGCTCCCCTTCTGTAATTGTTAAGCACATTTTTAAATTTGTTTCACTTAAACTTTTTTAGTTATTTCAAAAAAAACATTTCCTGCTGGAGTAACGTTTGAAACGTTACCGCAGCCAGACATTTTCTTTTTTAATTGTAATATTGAAATAAATTTTTGCTAAATAATTAGTTATCTGGACTAGGTAAATGTTACAACTTATTTGGTATTTGTATTTTCTTCGGTTGCGAAGTTATTCGAAATCCTGCTGGAGTAACGTTTGTGGGTTTGCTGGGATCTCTGAAAACGGGTAAGCGGATTGTTACCATCTTTTGTACATAACTTCTTAAGGATTAGTTTTAATTTGTTCGAAAATAAAATAACAAAAATAATGGACCGTTTAAAAATTATTTAGGTAAGTATGAAAACACTTAAATACGTCCTAACACTTTAAATAAGACCTCTTAAGACTTACTTGAAACGTTATTCTATTGCTTGTAACTACCTTCAAATGTATACGAATTTTCGTAAGAATACTGTAAGTGACTAAAAAGTTATGATGAAATGTAGCTCTCCACGTTCACGATCACAATGTGTGCGGCCTTTTTTGGCCACCGATAAACCTGTGTGTGGATATATAAACTG